GGGCAGCAGCCGCTCTCCTGTCCCTGGAAGACCCCTCGCGCCACTACAGCAAGAAGTACATGTTGACCGGACCAGAGGATGTCAACGACCAGAGGTTCACTCTCTCCCTGCTTCCCAAATATGTGAACAAGAAGGATTGGACACAGTGATCTGACCCTCTGTACCCATCTCTCTCAGCATTGGCGAGGCTCTCAGGGAAGTGCTTCAGGCAGACGTTACGTTTGGCGGAACGCTCACGGTCGACGAGTTCACGACAGGCTCCCCGATCAACCCAAAGAGCCTGCTTCCCCCGATCACCTTCTTCAGGCAGGGCAAAGGAGATCGCGCGCATACGGTCGCCTCCCCAGAGATGCTTGCTCTTGCCCCGCCCAAGGGCACCTTCAAAGAGTTCATCACCCGATACTACGCCAAGAACTGAGTGCCTTGACCTTGCAACCAATAAACGCAATATGGCAGCTTAATTTCCATTCCAATGTGTCGAACAATAAAAAAAAAAGGGTCAGGGAGTAGTGGTGGCCCAGTGGCTCAGGCGAGGCGTCGGTGAGCACCCGCAGCTGCTCGGCCTGCAGCCGCTTGTCCCGCGCCCGTTCGCGCTTCTGGCGCACTGACGGCCGCCGGCGCAGGGCCGCCGCCGCCTGCGCCGCGTCCCATCGCCGCGCGGCATCGGCCACCAGCGCGCCGTCGAAGAACGCGCGCCAGTCGACCAGGTCGCTCACCAGCAGATCGGCCCACGTACGGAGCTGCGGCTTCTGCTGCGGCTGCTGGTGGTGGGTCGGGAGCCACTCGATGTCGGCGTGGTCGCGGTGGGGCCGCCCCACGAGCAGCTCGGAGAGGAGCACCGCGAGGGCGAACACGTCGCACCGCCCATCGCACCGCGCCCAGTCCCCGTCCAGCTTCTCCGGCGCTGCGTACACCTTGTGGTGCGTGCGTGCGTGTGTGCGTGCGTCATACGAGGGGTGAGCGTGTGCGTGTGTGTGTGTGTGTGTGTGCGTGCGTGCGTGCGGTTGTGCGTGTGTCATGCGAGGGTGCGCGTGTGTGCGGTTGTGCGTGTGTCATGTGTTGCGGTGAGTCGCGGGGTGTGTACCTGGGACACGGGGGTGGTGATCCGTGTTCGGAATTGGCTGCTGCTCCCAAAGTCGATCAGTACGTAGCGAGCCGAGCTGGAGCGCACACGATGCGACACACGACGCGACACAGCACACGATGGCACACGACAGAATTAACGCGCCAGCGAGCAACTGGTGGAGGTTGGCGGTGCGCTTCTTACCCTCCGCGTCGGCTGCGCATGACGTTCTTGTTGGAGATGTCGCCGTGGTAGGTCTGCAGGACGCCGTGGAGGTCGAACAGGGCGTTGAGCACATCCAGCCCAATCTTCACCACGTCCGCCTCGCTCATCAGCTCCGTGCGGACCTCGCCTGCCCCCTTTTCCACCTCCTGCTCGCCCACCACCACCGCCGCCACCAGTCAGACGCCGAGAGGGGGCGGGAGGGGGCGGAAGGGGCGGGAGGGGGCGGGAGGAGGGACCTTGGGGAGGAAGTGGGGGTAGTGGCGCTCGCGCATGAGGTTCTTGATGCTCCGGTCACAGACCTCCATGACGAGGCAGGGCGGCACCGCCACACGCGTCTGATCGTGCACCCCGTCCGTCGTGCTCACCATCACTAATCGCACACGCACACGCACGCAACACACAACACAACACACACACGTCAATCGCACGACACACGCAACACACGACAAGAGCGCGCGTGTGTGCGAGTACCGCGGATTCGCCAGTCGTAGAGGTGAACGATGTTGGGGTTGGCGAGGATGGCCTTGTGGGTGAGGATGGTGAGCTCCTTGTGGAGGTACTCGACCTGGTCTTCATCGGTCGCCTCCCGCACCTCCTTCGCGTAGGCACGCGACACGCCCGCCGCACTCGCGCTGACGGGCGCCACCTCCGAAATCACCCCATTAGCCCCGTGCGCCACGCCCGCTCGCACCACCCGCCACTCGTGCCGCCGGCACCTGCGCGTGTCATCACCGCACACGACGCACACGACACGACACGACACGACACGACACGACACGACACGACACGACACGACACGACACGACACACGGCGACAATGAATGAAGAATGCTTGAAATGCGGAGAGTTTGGGGACCCACTTACTTGATGGTGGAGCCGTCGTCGTCTGTGGGCGCGGCCGGGGCGGCACCGCCGGCGTTCTTGGCATTCTTCTTTTTATTATTTTTATTATTTTGGCCGGTGCCGAGGGGCGGTTGTTGGGTGGCGGCGGTGGGTGGTGCCTCTTCGCCGCGGAGGGCGCGGAGGCGGAGTTCAAACTCGGGCTGGTCGATGAAGCCCATGGTGAAGACCTCACGCAGCCGCGCCTCCTCCCGCTCTCGCTCCTCTTCGTTCATCTTGTCCTTGTGTGTAACGTTTGGCCTTCTCTCTTTCTCTCTTGTACCGAAAACAAGAAAAGCAAATGAGAAATGAGAAAAGAAATGAGAAGCGAAGAGAAGGAAAACGTTTTTTGTCGACGACCTTTGTGGCTGAGGTTGTTCCACAATGCATCCACATGTGTGCCAGTGCAGCAAAGTGAACACAAGCCAGGATGCTGTGCTTGGGGCAGGCCACTGTGCGCAGACACAAGCTCAAGAAGGAGCGGCCTCAAAGGTCGTCGATGCGTTGCTTGCACGTGGGACACGTCTTCCTGCTCTTCAGCCACTCGTCCACACACTCCTGTTATAGTTGTGGCGGCAATCAAGAGGAGATCAGCAGTCAGATGCAGAGAGCGGAACGAACATTTCTATATATATGATTTTAAAAAGTAGTTATATTTATATGAAATTAATAAAGTAGAAAATGAATCGACGTGCCTTGTGGAATGCGTGGCCGCACGGGAGCTTGCGCAGGATGTTGCCCGTGTCGTAGTCCGACAGGCAAAAGGCACACCTGCGCCATTGGTTGATTGTTATTTCCCAATTCAGCGTGTGTCGTGCGTGTGCGTGTGCGTGTGCGGTGGTGCGTGTGCGTGTAGGTAGGCGTACATGGGATCACCGAGAACGGAGACGGAGGAGTCGTAGGTGAAGGTGGGCAGCGTGGCCAGGACCTGCTTGCTCAGGCCCTTCCCCACCTCCCCTATTCGCTCCTCCAGGGCCAGCAATTGCTGTGGGCATGGGAGTTTCGTTGCTCCGATTAGCACGACAGAAGCCACGACACACACACACACACACACACACACACACACACACACAACAAACGTCACGACACATGACACGGTGATGTCACATACCTCGTAGCTCATTGCGTCGGTGTCGACGGCATCGGCGTTGAGCTCCCCTTCGTCTTCGTCGTCGTCGTCGCCTGCGTGGCGGTACCGTACGCGGCGGAAGTGCATGGCAGGCTCGGCCTCGGCGCCCCGCACCACGCCCTTGTCCTCCCGATTCATCACCGTGATGCTCCCGCGCGGCACCAGCTCTGCACGCCATTGCCTAAGCACCGCGTGCGTGTGCGGTCGTGCGTGTGCGTACCAGCTTGTGCGAGGGTGGTGGTGAGGGCGGTCTCGATCGGGTACTCGACCTTGGGGATGCCCGGCTGCAGGAGCAGGAAGTTGGCCACGTCCCGGCCCGTGGACTGCGACACGAACTCATACACCGCCCCTGCCAAACAACACACACCCAACAAGCGTGAGCCACACGACACGCAGTAAACACACGCCGCACGGTCACGGCACATAGCACAGCTCAGCGTGTGAAGTGACGATTACCGAGTGTGTCCGTCGACGCAAACTCGTGCTTGACTGTGGTGCCGGTGGGCAATCGAATCTGTTCGCGAGCGAGAGTGCGGTGTGTGTGTGCGGTGGTGCGCGTGTGCGCGTGGGAGGTAAGAAACGAAGGTCAGTGCACTGGCCGACTCTGCGCGATGGATGCTAGTGAGGAGAACGGGGCGGTGGCGAAGAGGCACCTGAAGCAGAGCCACAGGCGACGACGAGGCGGCCGAAGCAGAAGCCGCCGGCGTTGGTGTCGATGGCGCGGAACCGCTCGCGGTGGGCACCGGCGCCCGCCCTGTCGTCGCGCCGCCACCTCGATTGTACTATGCACGCCACGCCACGCCACGCCATCAGAAAGAGCGCACACACGGCACACAGCACACGACACGCGTGCGGGCGCAAGGGGGTCAACCTTGCGTGCACGGTCGAGCTTCATGTCCTTGATGTGTTCTTTGATGCGTCGCTGCTCCTCCTCCTTCCGTCGCTTCTCCTCGCGCGCCTTGCGGAGCTCCAGCTCGCGCTGCTTCCGTTCGTATTCGCTCTTCTCCGCACCGCCGGCGGGCGCCACCGGGGCCAGGGCCGCCGACGGCGCCGACAGAGACGAGGAGGCGGGCACGGGCACGACCACGGCCGGTGGGGCCTGGTACGGCGTCGGCTCCACGACGCCACCTTCGCCGCTGGCCGGTCTCGCCACGAGCCTGAAAAAGAGAATTAAAAATGATTAAAAAAGTAAACTAAAACTATAAATAATTTGTGTGCAGAGGTTGGACGTCACCAATCGATGGCTGAGGCGAGGTCGCGAGCACCTGTGGCCTGCAGAGCCTGTGCAGAGAAGGGGGGGTGTTAAGTTGAACAACCTACAGAATGGTCAAATGCTCTGGATGAGGAGGATGGAAATAGAATAAACCTGGTGCGCATCGGCCGACGACCAGCCCATCTCCTCAAGCTGAGGAAGCAGCGCCTCGTAGTGCGATTTGCCCAGCCTGAGTGTTGTGGCCATCTTGTTCTGTGATGTGTGCCGTTGCACTGATCGGTGTTTGGTCTGGAATTTCCACAAGAAAGAGAAAGAAAGAAAGACAAATACAAAAACCTGCAGTGGACGCATTACAACATCACTATCCATCGAATTGACGACATCGCCTTCGACGTGGCACAAGACACAGAACGCCTGTGGAGAGCTCTGATTGGCACGGGAAGGATTCGACCAATTTTCTACTCGAGCCGCGAAGTAATTTGTAAACATGATTGCCGATGACACAGACACGAAGACGGGAGATGGCACCTACGCGCTACACAAGGCCGTATGGCGGCGCGATGTGGACAAATTGAAGGAGCTGCTCGATTGCCAATCGAAGGATTCAGAGCTGGACATCAACGAACGCGATTGCCACGGCAACGCGCCTCTCCATCTGGCCATTCATTTTCGTTACCGCGACATCGTTCATCTGCTGCTCGATCGCGGGGCCGACCCAACGTTCAAGAATGGCAGCATGTGGTCGCCCCTGCAAGAGGCCGTCGCGTCAGGCGATCGCAAGCTGGTGATGGACATCATGCTCGCCGTCAAGGACCACGTCAACGATGAATTCGTAAAGCGAACGCCCCACCTCACCACCGCCCTGCACAAGGTTTCAGAGCTCCCACCAACTTCTCTCCTCTTCTTCTTCTCCTTCTTGTTCCTCACCTCCTCCTTCAAATGTTCTGACGTGTGGCCCTTGTTGGTGACACCACAACGCAGCTTCCCGACTTCTACATGGAGATACACTGGGAGTTCAAGAGCTGGGTGCCCCTCGTCTCACGCCTCTGTCCGTGGGACACGTACAAGGTGTGTGCCACCATCACACACACACACACACACCACACACGCAGACACGACACACGACACACGACACAACACTAGCGCTCTCAGCACCCACTCACCTTCGGTGATCGCGTCACAGGTGTGGAAGCGAGGAGCATCTATTCGAGTAGACACAACGCTCGTGGGGTTCGAGAACATGAAGTGGATGCGAGGCAACATCTCCATCTTGTTCAAGGGCGAAGATGGTACGAAGATGATATCTCCCAGCCTTGCTTGGACGTTAATGCAGTTGTCGTCATAGATCGCACCTTCTGACAACCGTCTGCACTCCAGGTGGGCAAGTGATGATCCTGGACCACGACAACAAGACAATCGAACACGCCATGCAAAGTTTGGCCGGACTCAACAAGGCGGACCTCAACAAGGACGTCAACGAGGCACGTGAAACACACCACATACACACACACACACCACACACACACACACCACACCACACACACACAACTCTCCCTGTAAGCTGACCGCCAAAGTGTTGCATATGTTCGCGCAGGTGATGGTGCACAGCCTTCTACGACCGATGCCGCGGACGGAGAAGATCACGTTCTCGCCCAAGATGGGCTGGCTCTGGGGAGAGAAACGAGAAACCGTACGTTGACTCACAACATCGCTTTGGAGTTGGCCAACGAAAGGCTTATCGCACACGCACGACCGCACACACCGCACGCAGGTGGGAGAATGGGACGCCAAGCTGTACGAGGTGGACGGATTCGAGTACATCACGCGCCACCGAAACTCGAAAAAGAAGAAGAAGGGACACCCGTTCCCGCAGGAAGATCCCTTTGGCAACATGGACTACGAGACCTACTTCTCCACCTCGTCCAAGGACATGGACAAAGGTACAAATTTCCGCACACGCTCACGCACCACCGCACACGCACACGCTACACAACAAAAGCGTGCGTGCGCAGCACATTCTGAAACCTAAGCTGTTCTGTCGGCACGCAGGGATGAAAGGCGAAGGGCTCTCGTATCCTTCAGAGTTCATCAGCGAGAAGAAGCGCTGCTTCAAGGGGTACGACACACCACACACCACATACCACACACCACTTTTTTCTCATTGCTCACACATATAACAATTATCAATGGGGCAGGACCTTGTGGCTGTCGGCTGATTTCCCGAGGAAGGTGGAAGACCTGATGCCCGTGTTCGAGGTCCTCTCGCCACGAAACAAGCACTTCCAGAAGCTCCAGGATTTTGTCAAGCTCCTGCCCACCGACGGCTTCCCCGTCAAAGTCGGTAAGCTCCTCTCACCTCCCACCTTGCAACCAACCAATTCATCTGGTCTGGATCGTCGGGCTGTGATCGCTGACGACTCAAAACCACGACATGACGCAGAGGTGCCCGTCTTCCCGACACTCTCGGGCTTGGCCTCCTTTGGCAAGTACGAGGAAACGGAACTCGACGAATCACTTTTCGTCGTCCCCTCCAACTATTCCATCAAGGTTTGCCCCCTCTTGCCCTCTACACCTTCTTCGTCATCACCATCATCGCCAACATCATCACCACCGTTCTCTGTCGTCTGACCCGTTCTGCACTCATCAGGGCGCTGCGGGCAAGTGAGTGCGCAACGCCGAAGAGAACAACGTTGCCAGCTGACCTGCGACGTAGCACGGTGGTTCTCAATTAAGAAGGGCTGACCGCCTCTGATGTAATGTTCTTTTTGTTGGCTGGTTGATCTTCAGTTGTTTTTTTGGTTGTACAATGTGACGTGCCCTCGCGTTATGCCTCCCTCCCCACACACACACCACCTCCTCTCAGTCTCGAGGCACATGCCCGCCCCATCCATTCATCTTCATCATCACCATCCACATGTCCTCTTTCTACGTTCTCCCCCTCCTCTTTCGTTCTTCGCTTTTTCTTCGTTTTCGCTTTCGTTCTTCGTCGCCATCGCGTCGTCATGGTCTAGATCGATCGCGCTTCTTAGAAGAGGGAGCAGGACTTCTTCTTGGGGGCCTGGATCTGGGCATGGGCCTCCCTCATGTCGGCGCTCAGCACGTAGGTCAGGGCAAAGTCGAACACGGTCTTGAGGCCCTTCCTCGAGAGGGCCGAGCACTCCAGGTACTTCACCGCCTTGATCTCGATTGGCCAGCTTTTGCCCTGCAACAGATCCGCAACGTATGGGGGTCACCATCTGTGTCGTGTGTGTCGTGTGTGTAGTGTGCGTCGTGTGTGTCGTGTGTGTCGTGTGTGTGCGATGGAAAGAGTACCGAGTTCTGTGGTGACGGGTGTTGGGTGCTTCTCGCCCGTTTGTTCGTCTTCCCTGAGATCGATCTTGGTGCCTACCAGGATGATCGGCACCGACGGGCAGTGATGCCTCAACTGCAACCGAGCCACCATGGTGAGACACGATCAGTCATTCCACACCGACACACACGACACACGACACGCAACACGCAACGACGGGGTACCTCGGGCAGCCAGGTTTCTTTGACGTTGTCGTAGGAGTCGCGGCTGACGACGGAGAAGCAGAGGAGGAAGATGTCCGTCTTCGGGTAGGACAGCGTTCGTATCCGCTGATACGCCTCCTGGCCTGCACATATGTGAAGGTATCGTCATATATGCTCAGTCCCATCACAACCTCTGGGCGTTGCCATGACGACAGAACAGTAACAGCAGTACCTGCCGTGTCCCAGAGGGAGAACTTGACCTCCTTGCCCTCCACGGTGACGTGTGTCTCGTAATTATCAAAGACCGTAGGCACATACCTACAAAGCCCCTCGCTGGTTAGTCGAAAGAAGAAGAAGAAGAAGACGTACAATGACAAACCCACGCTCAACTACTGGTTGACGTGCAACGTTCTCCATATCATTTATCTTCTTGAGGATTCGAGGGAGGGATGAAGATGTTTGGGGGGGGCGTACTCTCTGGGGAACTTCTTCTCGGTGTGTGAGATCAACATGCAGGTCTTGCCCACGGCGCCGTCACCTTCCGTGATGCGTACAAGAAGTGATGAGCGTTTTAACCGAGTTGGGAGAGACGGACTGATGGCGTTGATAGGGAAGAGGAACGTACCGACGACCACACATTTGACTGGTTGGTCTTCTGTCATCTTCTTCTTCTTCTACCCCCGAGAAAGAGGGAAAGATTAGTAAGTCATCGATGTTCTAGATGATGTAGAACGCAGAAAAGGCGAACATCAGAAGTAAAGCAAGGATGGAGACTGGAGTTGATCGATGGTAGATGATATGATGGAGAGGGAGGTCTCTACCTTCACAAAAAAGCAAGGGCAGTGTGTCCAATGAACGTAGAAGAAAGCAAGCAGAGAAGCAGAGGGCGGCGGTGTCGAGATGGAAGGGAACAGAGATCGGCGAAGTCGTGGAAGGTCCCTTATCCAAGTGATTTTCGAAGGGGTCTGGGAGCGAACGATCTTTGCGCAACTGGCTTGTCTCTCTTTGGGACGCAGCCCGCCATTGGCCTAAAAAGTCCACACAAGAAAAGTCGAACAAGGAAAATGCAAAAGAAAAAAGAAAACCGCGCAGAGAATTCGCGGCGCACTGGATTTTTTTCAATCATTTGTGTCGCGGGGCGATTTTTGATTTAAAATCAAGTGCTTGCAAAGGAATGGAAGAGTTGGAGGCGAGCGTGTTCGTACCTTTCAAGCATCTGCTGAAGGCGCCCTCGCGCAAGGCCGTCGAGGAGATGTTCGCTGCCGCCTACAAGGCGCGGCACGTTCATCCGCCCCCGCCTAAACTCGTCGAGGCTACCGCCGCGGCCCTTCAAATCGAGGCCCCCGAGGCCCTCAAGGTACCACGCCCCATTCTCATCTTTTCCCATTTATTTCACACAATAAAAGGAATAAAATAAAACCAAAAATGAATTAAATAAAATTTTATTTTAATTGAATGAAATGAATAAATCCGGTTCCAAGGTGGTGGAGAGCATGAGCGCGTTGGCTGCACGAGCGGTGTTCGAGGACGCCACCTCGGTCGAAGCCGTCGCCGAACTCTTCCCGGCCGGTACCTCTCTTTTCTCTCTTTTGTTGCCAAGAGGCCAGGCGCCTGGGCATGTCGCTGACGAACGTGAATGCATTCACATTCTCAGGATTCCACGCCAATCTGGGCAAGCTGCTGTGTCAGGTGGTGGCCCAGAACGCGCCTGCCTGGAGGCGCGAGGCCGCGTCGGGCGCCAACACCATCTCCCTCCCCAAACTCGTGCGTGTCCCCCTCTGACATCGCACACGCACACACAGCGCACAGCGCACAACACACGTTAGCGGGAGAGTGGTGGGCTGACGCGTTCTCGTTGTGGTGCAGGCTGAGATTGATTGGCGCATCGACGTGAAGAGCGCATCGGAGCGGGGCCGCATGAGCGTGCCCACCGTCCTCGTGCAGCTGCAGGTCGAGAAGTCGCCCTCGCGAGTGGACGAAGAGACACAACACGAGAACGTCACCTTCGAGCTCGACCGGGCCACGTACGCCAGCCATCTCTTTCTTGTTCCGTTCGATCTCTTGTTATGTGTCGACGACAATGTATGATAGTTTTTATGAGTTAAGTGCTGATGATGTTTGGTTGGCGTACGTACACAGGTTGGAGACGATGCTGGAGGGGTTGGGCCGAATCAGGGATCAGCTCAACACCATCTCCACCCAGTAGCTCATCGCCGTACAATACAATTTCCATTTCGTTCGTTCTTTCTGGAAGCGCCGGTACGCGCTGTCGGCTCCGGCTTCGGCCCGAACTTTCAAGTTATTTATTGGTAAGGACTGTACTTTTTTGATTAGATATCATCTGTTTGGCCGCAACAACCTAAGAAAGACAATGATGAAGGTGACCAGCTCGAGGGAGGGGGTGGCGGTGGTCGTGACGGCGCTGGCGAGTGGGGCTGCACTCGGCGCGTTCCTGGCGAGCCGCTACTTGCGCACCGCACCCGCACCCGCTGCCGGTGGCCGCAGCCGCAGCCGCAGCCCACCGCCGCCGGGCGGCCACCAACCGCCCCTGCCCGACTTTGTAGAGGCGGCCCTGCACAACTCTCCCACATCTTCATCTTCTTCATCTTCATCATCTTCCACAGACGAGGGCTGGCGCCTATTCTACTGGCCGGGCATGCCTGGCCGCGGCGAGTTCATGCGGCTCCTCTTCGAGGCCACCGGTACACCAACCACAAGCTCTGTTTTTATATTTTTATTTTATATTGTATATTTATGGAGTACATTTCCATAAATATAAAAGAAATATGTGTATTGTTTATTTATTGTTTATTTATGTTTTAGGAACGGCGTACGAGGACGTGTTCGCGGAGAAGACGTGGCGGGAGGTGGCGCCGCTCAACTACGCCCCGGGCAAGCCCTTCTTCGCCTTCCCCGCCATCGCCCACGGCGACTTCTTCCTCTCCCAAACCCCCGTCATCATCCGGTACTCACGCCCCACGTGTCGTGCGTGTGTCGTGTGTGTCGTGTGTCGGTGTCGTGTGTCGTGTCGTGTCCTGCGTTTCGTGTGCGTCGTGTCTGACGGGTGGTGAGCGCAGCTACATGGCGAAGAGGCTGAGTGGCGGGGAGCTCTACCCGCGGCACGAGCGCGACCGGTACCAGGCCGAAATGCTGCTGGCCGGCGTCGTCGACCTGGTGGCCGAGGGGCACGACGCCTGGTACCTACCAGCCCTGTCCAACGCACTCTCTTGCGCATGAATGACGGATCGTGTGCGATGTGTGCGGTGTGTGTGTGTGTGTGTCGTTGTTGTTGTGTTGTGTGCGGTGGCAAGGCACGCGATCGACAAGAACGGGGGCTACCTGCAGCAGAAGGAGGAGACGGAGCCGTTCGTGCAGTACTACAAGACCAAGCGCCTCCCCAAGTGGCTCGCCTTCTTCGAGGCCGCCCTCCAGCGCAACTACGACGGCCGCGCCTTCTTCATCGGCCAGGTGCAACTTTATTTATTATTATTATTTTATTTATTTCATTCTGTTTATCTTGTTTTGTTTTGTTTTTATTTATTTTAACGTGTGTGCGGTCGTGTCGTGTGTCGTGTCGTGCAGGAGCTTTCGTACGTGGACTTGTGCGTGTTCCACGTGCTGGACGGGATCGCGTTCCAGTGCCCCGAGGAGTGGGCGGCCAGCCAGGTGCCGCTGCTCAAGGCCTTCCACGAGCGCATCGCGAGCCTGCCCGCCATCGCCCGCTACCTCAAGAGCGACCGCCGCTTCCCCTTCTCCGGCACCGGCCCCATTTTCTAAAGAATTAAATGGCATCACCAACGTCTACACGTCCTCCTCATGTCTGGTGTTGTATGCAACACAATCGTATTTGGGTCTTCCGAATCTGTTGATGAAACATGTTAACAACATTGATATGTTTGGGGGGGGGGTAAAGACTACAAAATGCTTGGTTGTGACTTCGTAGAGAGAGGTCAGGGCCCGAGGGTCCAGTCGATGGGCTCCTTGCCCATCTGCTCCAGGAGCTCGTTGCACTTGGAGAAGTGCTTGCAGCCCAGGAACTTGCCGCCCGCCTGCACACAACACACACACAACACACACAACACACACAACACGCAACACACAACACGCAACATACACACACACACACACACAAGATTGTGAGCCGTATGCGGTGGCACGTATGCGGTTTGTTGTGTTTGTGAGAGTGCGTACCAGGGGCGAGGGGTGGGCCGCCTCGAGGACGTGGTGCCTCTTCTTGTTGACGTCCTTGGCCTTCTTGATGGCGAACCCGCCCCAGAGGAGGAACACCACCCCCTCCTTCTTCTCATTAACGAGCCTGCAACCGCACACACGCACACCGCACACGCAGACCGTACACGCAGACCGCACACACATGTAAGCAGCTGGAAAGCGACGAGGGACGGGCCAGAGGGGGATGGCGTACGCGAGGACGCGGTCCGTAAAGGTCTGCCAACCGCACTTCTCGTGGGAGTTGGCCTTGCCCTCGTTCACGGTCAGCCTGCGTGGCAGACATCGGCACACGTCAGACCACCCAGCCCGCACTTGAGAATGTATGCGTGTGTCGTGTGCCATATGTCGTGTGCCATGCGTGTCGTGTATCGTGTATCGTGGTTAGGCGCGTGTACGTGGCGTTGATCATGAGGACGCCCTGGCGAGCCCACTTTTCGAGGTAGCCGTGGTTGGGCGCCTTGAAGCCCTTGATATCGGTGCTCAATTCCTGTCGATACACACACGCCGACGTCAGCACACCGCGTGGCCGCGGCGTGTGCGTGCATGCGGGATGCGGTGTGTGCGCGGTGAGGTGTGTGCGTTTGTGCGGTATACGGTGCGTGTGCGGTATGCGGTGTGCATGTGCGACGGTACGTTGTAGATGGTCTTGAGCGAGGGCGGGATCTTCACACCCTTCTTGACGGAGAAGCACACGCCGTGGGCCTGGCCCTGCCTCATGTACGGATCCTGTCCGATGATCACCACCTTCACCTGTTCGCGCACATAATAACGTGACACGACCAACGACATAACGACACGGACACGACACGACACGACACGACACAAGTTGTCAGAAGGGCGCGATCTGCGTGATGAGGTCGGCAAGGAGGTCCGCACCTGGTCGAAAGGCGTGTAGTTGAACGCGTTCAACACCTCCTGTACAGGTTTTTTTTAGGTTAGCCACTCGTGTGTGTGGCGTGTGCGATGGTGACGCGTGTGGCGTGTGTGGCGTGTGTGGCGTGTGCGGAGGAGTCCCGCACGTGATCCGGCGGGTGGACCATGGTCTTCTTCTTCTCTCCCTCCACGAACTGAAGGATCTTCTTGAAGTAGGGCTTCTCGAACTCACTCTGTCGAGGTGTGCGTGTGCGGTGGAGTGTGTGCGTGTGCGTGTGCGGTGAAGTGTGTGCGGTCGTGCGTGTGAGTCGGATCGCCCGGGAGGCGAAAAAAAAAGAGGCTGGAAAGATGTTTCTCACCGAGAGGAGCTCCTTCCAACCGTCGTCGACCAGCGCTTCGACAATACCGCCGCCGCCGCCGCCGCCGCCGCTGGCCTCCTCCTTCGCATCATCTTCATCTTCGTCGTCGCTCGAGGCCTTCTTGGCCTTGCCCTTCTTGGCGGGACGGCTGTCCTCGTCCTTCTTGGCCGCTTGTTCGCCGTCGTCATCGTCTTCATCTTCATCTTCGCTGTCGTCCTTCCTCTTCCGCTTGGTGGCTCCCTTGGCCGGCGCCGCATCACCCTGCATCATTGATATGTAAATAATAATAATAATAATATATTAGTATGATTGATTATATAAATGGGTATGAAGAGAATTGTAATGTTATTATTTATAAATTGAAGTTAAGTACCGGCGATGAGGCGGGCGATGAGGGCGGGTTTGGTGCCGGAAGTGGCAAGACCCCTTGCCTTGAGGGCTTCCTTCAGCTCCGGAACCTGCAACAATGCCCCCCCAAAAAAGAATTAACGAATAAACCCTCTTATTAGTTCTTCTAGTTCGAACCTTCATCTTGCTTGCTTGAGCTTCCGTGTAGACCTCCATCTCTCTTTCCTCTCTTGCGACCTCAACAATAAAACAACACAACAGCAAAGCTAACTTCTTAGAAGTGTTTTGGCCATCTTTTCACTGCACGCAACACAAATTAAAGTCACATATTTATATTTCTTCATTTTTTTATTATTTTATTTTCATTTATTTTATAATAATAAATGGAAGAAGTAGCGGCTTGGATCGGTGGCGTGGTTCTCGTGGTGCTGTTGGCTGTGGTGCTCCTGCTGCTGACGGCTTGGCTTCATCCCCGTTGGCTCCTCCGCTTCATCTCCTGGGCCACCCTCCCCCAGCGCGTCATCTTTTTCAAATCTTCATCTCCATCTTCTTCATCCCCATCTTCTTCATCTTCTTCATCTTCTGAGCACGAGCCGCTCATCAGCAGCGGCCCGGCAACGCAGCGGCGGCGGCGGGTGGCGATCACCATCGACGACGCGCCGCACGGGGAGGTGACGCCCTACTTGCTTGACGAGCTGCGGCGTCACGAGTGCCGCGCTACCTTCTTCTGCATCGGCGCGCAGGTGGCGGCCGCGCCCAAGGCCCTCCTGCGCCGCATGGTCGACGAGGGACACGAGCTCGGCAACCACATGATGCACGACATGGCCACGTAACGTCACCCACCGCACACGCTGCATCGCACACACCGCACACACCGCACACGCTGATGTGTGCGACATGCGATACAGGATCAAGCTGTCGCCGAAGGACTTTGAGACGGAGCTGCTGGCGGTGGAGGAGCTGCTGGACTCGTTCCAGCCCATGCACCAACGCCCCGTCAAGTGGTTCCGACCAGGCTGCGGTAATGTCACAGCACACGCACGCACGACACGCAGCACAACACTGACCTGACGTCGTGGTTGGTGTGTGGTAGGGTGGTACAATCGGGAGATGATCAAGGCCGCCAACGCGCACGGCTACACGGTGGCGCTCGGCGACTGCTACCCGTTCGACGTCAACATCAAAAACGCGACCGTCATCAGGTACCCTTGCGTGTGCGGTGGTGTGTGTGTCGTGCGGTTGCCACTGATAACGGTGTGCACACCACACCACACAGTCGATACATCAAGTGGAAGGTGCGGGACGGGTCGGTCATCATCGTGCACGACGGCCGCAAGGAGCGACGCTTCACCATCGACGTACTCAAATCCGTTCTGCCCCACCTCAAAGAGGTACCTTCTTTCTTCGTTCTTCGTTCTTTTTCGTTCTTCGTTCTTTCTTCACATCTCACCTCACACTTTCAAAATTGCAGAACGGATTCGAGGTGGTGACGCTCAGCGAGCTGATGGCGTCCTCTTGACGTTGCTTGTCGTGTCGTGTTGCGTTCGATACGCGAATGTAATTGGTGGTACATATATTTTAAAAATAAGAACATGCGCCTGTGGTCTCTCAGTCGGCGCCGGCGTCGGCCGACGGTCGGTGGGAGAGTGCGGCCGGCCCTGTGTGGTGGCGTAAGTGCCCCAGGCGGCTGTCCCCGACCTCCTCCTGTCGGCCCATCACCCAATTAACACGACACGCGACGCACGACACACGACACACGATACACGACACACGATACGACGCACGATACGACGCACGACGCACAACGACGCACGAAAGTGCGAGAAATGGGAGCGTACGGGAGCGAAGCGGAGTCTCTCGAGTTCGAGGCACCGGGTGCGCGCGTCGACGATTTCCTTCTCCAGGGTCTGCCGCAACTGCGCGAAGCTCTCCTCCGCCGCCACCTTTTGCGCCTCCAACAGCTCGCACTGTTCCCCCACCAATCCTTTAGCATGTGCGTGTGCGGTGCGTGCGTCTGTGCGTGTGTGCGGCGTGTGCGTGTGCGGTACCTGTGATCGCAGAAAATTGGAGGCGAGGCGATGCTCCTTGCGCTCCTGCTCGAGCTGCCTGCGCGCCTCCTCGTAGGTGGCCTTGCTCTCCTTCTTTCGCCCGGCCTTACCACTCCCGCTACCGCTTCCGCCCAGCGACGCGCGGTGTTCCCGCTTCTCGCGCTCGCGCTGCTCCCTCTGCTCCCGCTTCTCGCGCTCGCGCTCCTCCTTCTCCTCCTTCTTCTCCCGCCGCCTGCTCTCCCGGCCCCACTCCTTCCCAGTCGCCGCGACCGCCGCGGCCGCCACCATCGAGTCGTCAACACTGTCGACAACCGCGGCCACGGGCTCGTCGACAGTAGCGACAGTGTCGACATCGCCGCTGTTGTTGGCGTTGTCGACATCTTGCTGCTGCTGCTGCTGCTGCTTGTCGAGGTCGTCGATGACGAAGTGGAGGTGCTTGATGACCATCTCGCGCTCGAGCAGCTCCTGCTTGAGGGCCAGCTCGGTCTCCTTGGCCGCGATGCGCCACTGCAGGCCTCGCTCCGCTCCCGGGCCAGCTCGTCCGCCAGCCGCCGCGCCGCCTCCGACGCGATCCTGAGAGCCGCCGCGTCGGGCGTCGGCGTCGGCGTCGTCGGCATTGGGGCCGGGCCGCCGCGGGTGCCGATGAAGTTGGTCGCCTTGCGCTGGGTGAGCACCGCGTCGCTCGAGTTCGAGGCCCGCGCCGGCTCCACCTCGGCCTGTCGGCTCTCACGCGCCAGCTCCTCCTTCAACTGCGCGATTTCTTTGCCCTAATATTGTATTATTATTATTATCATTAAATTGAAAAAATGAGTGTCATTGATTTGTGTAAAATGTTCATATGAATTTTTTAAAAGAAAATAAAAAGAGAGGAATGATAAATAGGTACCTTGAGGGCGAGGAGCTCCTGGAGGTCCTTCTCGCGCTCGAGGAGCAGTTCGCGGCTTCGATCGTCGCTGGCCGCCGGGGCGAGGAGCGGGAGGGAGGGCATGGACGCCGACGATAAGGCCGAGGCCGACGACGGCAGAGGCTGCGTCCGCAGCATAAAGTCGCGCGTGCTGCGGACGGAGCGGCCGCGACGCAGCTGCTTGTCCTCCGCCGCCGCCGCCAGCGGCCTGCCCGATCCCATCGACCCGAGGCCCAACCCGCGCCGGTGGGACGAGGCCCTGTCCTCCCTTGTCACGACGCGATTGGATATAAAAAAATTAAAATAACAAAATATTAATTGCAATGCAACAACACAGTAGTGGAGGTGTCATAATATATACCGCATGGAGGTGTAACCAAACTTGGTGTTCTTCCGCGTCCAATCGGGCTCGTCCCTGATATACATATTGATGGAAATATATCAACAGTGCTGATGTCAGCAACGCTCTTCAGGGTGGCGGCAGTACCTGGCGTCGAGGGACAGGTCGGCGAGCCGCTGGACGGCCGGGGAGGACATGGGCGAGAGCGACGATGACAGCGACGACGAGGGTAGGTGGCCTGGGGCGGCAGGGCCAGCGAGAAGGGCGAGTACAGGGGCGAGTTGGGAGACGGGGCCAGAAGTCCCACAGAGAGCGACGACGACGATGTGGAGAGCGAAGACGAAGACGATGACGATGACGACGATGAAGAGGAGGAGGGTGACGATGATGAAGAAGATGTGGAAGTGTCGGACCCAAAGGAGGAGGGGATGCCGGGCGAAGCCGAGAGTGGAGGCGTCAACTGCAGCGGAGGCAGCAAAGACGACGTGTGGCGCTTCCACCTCTTCAGGCCCTCGTTCCAGTACAGATAGTGCTCCTATCGACACGCACGACACGCACGACGCGCACGAAACGCATATGTGAGTGTTATTTGGTGCGTGTGCGATGGCGTGTGGCGTGTGCGGTGGGTACTTCGGTGGAGGCGGCGAGGCGGAAGACGCGCTCGGCGGTGTAGAGGTCGAAGTAGAAGTGGTACTTCTCGAGGTTCTTCGCCGCGTTGATGTCGTTCGCGCGCCCCGCGATCGCCGACACCTTCCGCAGCTCGATGAACCCGCGCGGATTCGGCATCGGCGGCTGCTCCTCATCACCGTCATCATCACCACCACCACCACCATCAGCATGGTTGCCATTCTCATCATCACCGACATCATCACTGTCATCGCCATCTGCCTTCCCCGCGCCATTCTCTTCTTTCTTGATCTTGTTCTTCTTCTCTTTCTTCTCTTTCTTCTGCTTCTTCTTGTCGCTCTCTGCGATCTCTTTCATGCCGCGGCCCGACGACACGTTGATGCCGCCGCCTGACTTTCTAAACCGCGGCTCTGACAGCGACCGCGTCGGCGGCGACGTGGCTCTGGGCGACGACATCGAAGGCGACGACGGGTTGCTGTTGTCGTTGTCGTCGATCGTCAGGTCGAGGTCGCCGGCGTCGGCATCGCCCAGGTCGGCGGAGGTGATGGAGAAGGAGAGGGACGAGGGCTTGTAGTAGTACAGGCGGTTGCCCTTCTGCTCGAACCACCGCAGCTGCCACTTGGAGGAGAAGCCCGGACCCTGCTTCTTCAGGAACCCGCGCAGGTTGGCCGGCGGCGGTGGCGGCAACGCGGGGCTGCCGTCCCGTGCTTGCAGGTCGACCCGCTGCTTTGAACGAAGCAAAGGTAAAGTAAATTAAAAAAGTTTTTACATATAATGAAATGGAAAAGCAGGTAGGCATGATGTATTACAGTTGCATTATTTATTACACGATTATAATTAAAAAATATAATATTTTAATCGTGTAATATACATCAAATTGAGTATTACAGCATTGAAGTGAAGATCGGTTTTTTGGGAGGCTATGGAGGCAAAAACGGACCGTGGGAGGTAGGGCCACACTCTCGCTCTCCATTACTTGGGTGGGCGACAGCCTCTGAGCCTGCCGGTGGCTACTGTGTCAAAATTTGACTGATAAGTCCGGATCAAGATATATTCAGGCGTGTTTTCTTTCGCAACAGGCAAAAGAATGTCTGGAGGTGACGGGTATCGATCCCGCTGCCTCTCCGATGCGAACGGAGCGCTCTACCATGTGAGCTACACCCCCAGTACCTGTCGACAGTCACCTATTGCAACAAGCCCCTATGATTGTGCGTTTGGTCAAACACACCATGTTCGCTCGTTTCTGACAACTACACGCCGCCAGCGAGTTCGATGTTCTGGGCTGTCACCCAGCTGGCCTGCGGGCTGGCGAGGAAGGCCACGGTCTGGGCCACCTCCTCGGCGGTGCCGAAGCGGTGCTCGAGCGGGGTCTGGGCCTTGGCCGCGGCCTTGAACTCGGCCGGGAGCGTGTCGGCCATGTCCGTTTCTATCACGCCCGGCGCGACTGAGTTGACGCGGATGCCCCGCGGCCCCAGCTCCTTGGCCGCCGTCTTCGTCAGCACATCGACCGCCCCCTTTGTTGCCGAGTACGCTCCTCCCCTCTGCACATTTTTTGATTGTCTTCAGACGACACGCACGACGCACGACGCACGACACGCACGACACGCACGACACAACTTTCAACGCACCGGGGCGGCGGTCCTGGGAGCGATGCTGGAGACGTTGATGATGGCACCGCCGGAGGTGAGCGCCTTGGAAGCCGCCTGGATGCCCCACAGGGTGCCCTTGAAGTTCACCGCAAGCAAGCGGTCCACCTCCTCCTCGGTCACGTCGGCCAGCAGGCCCACTGACAGGACGCCCGAGTTGTTGACCAGCACGTCGAGGCGGCCCCAGCGCTTGACCACCTGGTCGACCAGGTCAAAGACCTGCGCCCGCTGGGCCACGTCGGCCTGGAAGGCGTGGGCCTGGCCCCCGCGGTCGACGATGTGGGCCACCACGGCCTGGGCGGCGTCGGCGCCGTTGACATAGTTGACGGCCACGATGGCGCCCTCTGCCGCGAGCTGCTTGGCGATGGCGGCGCCCAGGCCGCGCGAGCTGCCGGTCACGATTGCCACCTTGCCGGCGAGACGGCGCTCGGAAGAGGAAGAAGATGATGTAGAGTTGGTTTGCGTAGCGAGCATTGCTAGTGTGAATCTGAGTGGAGTTGAAGAATGAAAGAGGAGAAGGACATAGAAAGTCGACAAGAGAAAAGTGTAGGACATTCTCTTCGGCCAACAGGGGAATAGAAACACACAGGATATATGACAAACATTGTCTCGGCCAATAATGATAATTTCCCATTGGCTCGCAGTAGCGTTTTCTTCGATTGGGGCGCAACATAAACCTCAAGGCCTTTGAGAAACCTCAAGGGAAGAGGGAGACGTTGAGGCGGTCCTCGACGAGGCGGACCCAAAAGGCGACGGCGCTGGGGATGACGCTGTCGTTGAACTCAAAGTCCGACGAGTGGTTGAGGGCGTTGGTGCGACCCTCCTCCTGCGTGCCCAGGAAGAAGAAACAACCGGGCTTCTTCTCCAAGTAGTACGCAAAGTCCTGATCGCGAACAAACCAACAGCGATGAGTGCGTGTGCGGTGGTGCGTGTGCGTGTGATTGTACCTCGGCAGCGAGCATGGGCAAGAGGCGATCGCCCACTTTGTCGGGGCCAAAGAAGCGCTTGGCGAGGCGCACGACGTGGTCGTTCTCGGCCTCGCTGTTGACCAGCACCGGATAGCGCGACTGCACGTCCACCTCGCACTCGCACCCGTACGCCGCACACGTCTGCTCCACTGCACGCACATTCGCACACGCCCACAAGACATCAGCGCCGCTGGCTCGCGGTGTGTGCGGTGTGCGTGTGCGGTGACGCGTGTGCGGTACCGATAGTGGTGAGGCGCTGCTTGATGGTGTCGAACACGGCCGGGGAGAGGTCGCGGATGGTGCCGCCGAAGCGGCAGGTGTCGGGGATGACGTTGAAGGCCTCCCCGCCGTGCAGGAAGCACACCGAGAGCACCGCCGGGTCGGCGTAGGACACGTTGCGCGAGATCACCGTCTGCAGCGACGACACGCACGTCGCCGCACACACGATCGGGTCCACCGTTTGCTGTGTGTCGTGTCGTGTCGTGTCGTGTCAGCCGCGTCTCGAAGGGGAGGAAAAAGGGAAGAGGAAGCGCACGTGGGGCTGAGAGCCGTGGCCGCCCTTGCCCTTGATGACCACCTCGAATCGCGAGGTGTGGGCCATCACCGGCCCCGCCTTCGTCCTACCCCGCAGCAGTTCAAACGTAAGTAACGAAGATACGACACGACACACGACGACAACACACGACACACGATTTCAGGGGGTGCCGGCGTACAGAAGCGTGCCGAGTTCGACGGTGGGCCAGTTGTGCATGCCGTACACCTCGTCCACTCCATCAAGGCAGCCTTTGCACCGGTGAAAAGAGAAGTTAGGGGGGAGGGGAGAGATTGAGTAAGGTGGGGTGGTCGCCGCACCTTCTTCGATCATGAGGGGTGCGCCGCCGGGCGACTCCTCGGCGGGCTGGAAGAGCAGCCGCACCGTCTGCGTCTTGGGGATCTTGTCGCGCGCCTACGCCCCGCGGCCAGCCACCCACCACCACCACCCACACGCGACAGTCCAATTAGCAATCAAACAGCAGCAATTTAGTTGGTTTGGTCAAGAAAAGGGTCTTGCACCTGGACGAGGAGGGTGGCTGCGCCGATGAGGCACGCCATGTGGCCATCGTGACCGCACATGTGCGCCACGCCCTCGCTGCACACGACACCACCAACAACACATGACCGACGACACGACACGACACGATCAACGACACGCGCCGCGGCGAGGTGAGTGTATGACGCAAGCAAGCTGGAGAGGTGCAGGTGGCGGGCGCGACGGTACTTGACGGAGCGGTGAGGGAGGTGGTGGTTGTTTTCGGTCATCGGCAGCGCGTCGAGGTCAGTCCGCAGGGCCACCTGCCCGGGCGCCGCGCCTTAGCCATATGTGGGCCACAGCCAAGCAAACTACACCGAAGCGACAGCGGCACAGTTGGCTACGTCAGTAGCGGCCCACGTACCATGGCCACGCCCCGTGCTTCGCCCTCGCCCGTGCCAAGAATGTCCACCACGAGCCCCGTGCGCGCACACTCCTGCAGGAGGTCCAAAATAAAGTGGACCATATATAAATAAATAATTTACCCTACAATTTTTTATATTGTATTTAATTGGAAATATAAAATATAATAAAAATTAAGCTGGTGCACCTTGATGGCTTCGGGCTCGAGGCCGGTGCGAAGCAGAGCGGCACGCATGCGCTCGCGCGTCTCGTGCTCCTGGAACCCCACCTCTGGGTGGCGATGGAGCTCCCGCCGCAGTGCCACCAGCCCCTCCAACTGCGCACTGCTCAGCATCCTTGTTTGTTTTCTTTACACAAAACAAAAAGAAAAACAAAAAGGCAAGGTGACGTTACCCGCCACCTTAAAGTTAACATCTCAAATAAAAAACATACAATTCCAAAAAGACAAAAAGCAGACAATGGACGAGGAGCACCGAACAGTGGTCGACGAAGACGACGAAGCCGAAAGGGCGCCTGAGCCCCTGAGCCCTGGCGAGGGCGCGATCGCGGGCCTGCCCGGGGCGACCTACGTCAGCCGCGCCCTCAGCCCTGCCTTCGCCTACCGCCTCGCCCGCAACGTACGCCCCTTCAATTAAATTTATGGAATTATTATTTATTACATATATTTTGTAATTATTAGCGCTTTATTTAAGACCCAACGTTGCTGCAGGCGGGGAAGGTCGGGGTCAAGCCGGCCCGGTACGGCATTACAGGCAAGGGCGGACCCAAAGTCCTCCCCTACGGCTCCAGACGTGCGCGCCTTCCCGTGCCGTGCTTGTGTGCTGTGTGTGTCGTGTCGTGTCGCGTGTGTCGTGTGCGCGTGTGTTATCTGATGTGTGTCGCGGGGCCGGAGATCAGTCGCGTACCCGGATTGGCTGGAGGAGCTGGTGGACCGGCTGCAGGCCTTGGGCGCCATGCAAAAGCGGCCCACCCAGGTGTCGGTCAACCACTACGTGCCCCACCCAGAACCCTACCGCCTTGTCGTACGCCATTTCTCGAATTCCATTCTCACGTTGCGTGCTGTGTGTGGTGTGTCGTTTGTGTGTCGTGTGTGTGTGTGGTGTGCGGTGCGTTGAATCGTCGCTGAAGTGGGTTGTGTCGCCTGCGTGCAGCCGCACATCGATTCGAATACGGGCCAGCAGGTGGTCATCGTGTCGCTGCTCTCCTATTGCTGCCTCGACTTCTACCGCAACTCGGGCCGCAAGGATCTCAGCGTCCCCTTCACCCCCACCCTGGCACGCGCATCTCCAAACAATCGCACGACACGCACACCGCACCACCGCACACGCACCACCGCACACGCACACGTGTTTCTTCAGCGATTACTAATCGTCGTCTGGGTAGCAGGTGCTGGATCCGGAGGACACGCGGGAGCCGGCGGTGAGTCTGCTGCTCGAGCCGGGCAGCGCGCTCATCCTGACTGGAGAGGCCTACCGAGGTCAGTAGTCCGGAATCTTAAGAATGTTGCATTGAGCTGGAAGCTGATGGACGTGTGTTGTGTCGTGTGTCGTCTGTCGTGTGTCGTGTGTCGTGTGTGTGTTCGTTGTGAGCGCAGAGTTCGGGCACGGGATAGCTCCGCGGCTCACGGACGAGGTGAGCACCGAGCTGGGCAACTACCACCTGCTGACGAGCCTCGACAAGAGCGCCACCACCACTACGACGCGAAGCGCACGCATTTCCCTCGCTCTGTGGAGCCCAGAATGACCGTCAGTGGACAGCCCTATTTCGATGGAAAGCCCTGTAACTTTGTTTATCGTAGCCACATGCCACGTGTGTGTCGTGTCGTGTGTCGTGTGTCGTGTGTCATGTGTCGTGGTCGTGTGGGTGTGGCGCTTAAACTTCGTAGGTAAAGGTATGAACCCCGACGCCGTCCGCAACGTAGACCTTTCTGGTCTCGGCGTTGACGACGACACACATCGGACGCCTGAAGGCGGGCCTTGCCGTGCACCACGAACTGAAGAGCCCCGCATGGCTCCCGTCGGCCTTGTGGAAGACCTGGACCTCGTCGCTCCCGAAGCTGGTTACGAGCACGTGGCCCGTCTCATCCAGCACGGCTACCCCTCGCGGCCGTCGGAGGTGCCCTTCGCCAAACGTTCGCACGAAGTCGCCGCGCGAGTCGAACACGTGGACGCGATGCTGCACGTCGTCGGTTGCATAGATACGACCCTCCGCGTCGACGGCCACCTCGCGCAGATTGGAGAACTGGCCGGGTTCCGAGCCCCTGGTTCCCATGCAACAGATCCAGCCGCCGCCTTGGTCGTCCAGCACCTGCAGCCGCCCGTTGCCCCAGTCCGCCACGACCACTCGGCCCGCGGCCGAGTCCACCGCCACGCTGCCGGGCCGCCTGAACTGGCCCGGCCCCGAGCCAGGGGCGCCAAACTGGTGCACCAGCTGACCGTTGGCGGCGTCGTAGACGCTCACGCGATGGTTGCTGGGGCGGGCCACCAGGAAAAGGCCGCGCTTGGCTTCGAACGCCGCACCGAGCGGCGGCCCGCAAGCGGACGGCGGCAGGCTCTGCAGATAGCGGCCCTCGACGTCGAACATCCGGGGCTCTTTGGCCGTTTCCAAGGAAACGAGGTGCGGCCAGTGTCGGGGTGCACGGCCAGGCCCCAGACGCAGTGCAGTCTCGCCCTTCGTTCGAGTTGGAATTGGGGGACATCACCAACGGTGGTGTCATCGTTGTCGTGGCTGTCAGACGTCGGCTGCAGCTCGGTCTCGTTGTTGGCTTCTGGCTCGGCCTGCAACAGCCCTTGGAGCTGCCGCGCCTGTTGTGCCTCGTCTGCCATACAACTACCACTTGATACTGGGAGTTGGCTGAAGAACAAGAAGAGGAAGATCGCCCGAAAGTGTCTTCTTTTCCGGGTGTCAGGGAATGAAAGGAATTCGACGTGAGCCGAACAAGCGTAAAGTACAGATTAAAATTGGAGTGGTTGGTCGTCGGTGTGTCGTTACGGCCTTCAGGACAGACGCCCCCTTTCAGTCCCGCACGCCGCGCACCTTGTGGGACACGCGGGAGATGAGACGATTCTTCTTCTGCTGGGCCGACACGGACCCGCGCAGGTCCCACGATGGCGCAATGTACGCGTCGTCGTCCTTGATCTTCTTCGCCTTCTTCGCGTCCTGCACGTCGTTCGGTTCGTTTGTTTTGTTGATCTTGGCCATCAAAAGAGCGAAAGCGAAGGCGGGGGGGGGGGGGAAGAGCGAAGTCGTACCTCCATCATGGGCATGTCGATGCCCAGGACAGACATGAGCTTGGCCTGCGTGGGGTCGACGCCCAGCACGGCGAAGGCCTTGCTGTTCTTCTCCTTGATTCGAACTTTGTAGAGAGCAAACGGTCAGAAAACCATCCAAAGCACGTAAAGCATGTGGGACTAGGGCAGCCTGTACCCTGGGGCCGCGACCTGGGTAGCTCCGGGGGGAAAGGCGACGACGGCGTGACGGGCGCCGAGTGCTGCCCTCCATCCTGTCGACACCCACAACAACCAACACATAAAAGATATATTAATAGGTTGGAATGTGGAAAAGGCAAATTGAGAAAAGAGTAATAACGTACCGTGCCATGGCCGAAGCTATGACTCCTTCTTCGTTCCAGATCGCTCAGGTCTGAAGAGAGGTAGGAATGTTAATATGGTATGCGTGAAATGCAACGCGCGCGTACCCGAGTCGACAGAGGGCCGGGGCGAGGTCTCACGCGAGAGAGCGAGCCGAGCGGCGCCCGGGGCCGTGAAGGGCATGACGAGCGACGTCTGCCGCGCGGCCGACGCCATGAAGCGGTCGCCGCTCACCTGCGACGAGAGCACCGTACTATCGGTGCGCTCCCGTCGTGACGGGAAGAACACGCCCGTGTAGGTGGGGGCGGTGGAGCTCGATGAAGATGTGTGGAGGTCGCTGCGGTTCATCGACAAGACCACGTCATCGCTTTCGTCATCGTCGTCGTCATAATCATCATCGTCATCATCATCGTCGCCATCGTCAGTGACGTCGTCGAGCGAACCGGTCTTGTTGCGCCCGGGCGCGACGCCGCCGCTGCCGAACTTCCATACCGGCGGCCGCCATGTCCCGGTGGCGTCGATGCTCCGCGTCCGGCGCTGTCGCGCTCGCCCGATCGACCTGCATGCGACATGTCACACGTCAGCAATCACGACAATGACAAGAATGTTATGTGAGCGCGTAAGGAGGCGGTGCCACGCGTGCCATTGCTGTTGGGCTGCTCCGGAGCTGGTGTCGCTCGAGGCCGCGCTGCCGCTGCGCTGCTGGCGGGCGACGGTGTCACGTGCGTCGCGCTCGAGCGCGGCCACGCGTCGCTTGGCGAGTCGGATCTGGGCCTGCAGCTTCCCGATCCGCCGCTCGCGCTCGGCCAGCTCGCCGGCGTGCCGCGCATTGCAGCCGATCGCCTCGCGCAGCCGCGCGCGCATGTCAGCGAACTCGCGCTCGAGGTCGGCCAGCTTCAGCTCCTCCAGGTCGCGCTCGCGTCGCTCCCGCTCGTCGATGTAGGTCCGCTCCATGGCCGCAACGAAGGCCTCCATCTGGCGCGCCCTCTCTTCTTCGTGACGCCGCAGCGCTTCGACAATCGTTGCCTTGCCAGAGGTGGAATGCGAGGCAGGCGCGGTGATCGCGCGGTCGGATTCTTTCAATTCCTGGTGATGGTGATGATGAGAGCTGTGCGGCGGGAGCGGCGGCATGGTGGTGCCCTCGGGCACGGCGACGGCGTTGGCGCGATTGCGGATTCGGCCGAGGTCGGCGAGCCGCTTGTGGTCCTGCGGCGACGACGTCGCAACCGCCTCGGCCTTCGACGAAAGCTGCTGCGCCGCCGCCTGCTGCTCCTTCCGCCGCCGCCCGCCTCGGGGCGACAGCACCGGCGATCCGCCGGCGGTGGGCATCATCGACGCTGACGGCGCGGCCGCTGAGTCGGCCCACGCCCGGACGGCGCTCTCGATCTCCTCCTCCTTGCGCCTGGCCGGCTCGCGCTTGTTGTTGGCCCGGTGGGGGGCCGACGACGACGAAGACGAAGATGATGAAGTTTTTTCTTTGGCTTTTTCTCTCATCTTTTCGCCCGCTTGTTTGTGTTCCTCATTATTGTTGTCTTCATCTATGTCGACAGGTTTACTCGAAGATGATGAGGAACACGAAGGTGTAGATGACGAAGATGGGGATGGAGATGAGGAGCGAGGACTTGATTTGTTGCGCAGGCCCTTCCGTTGTCCAGCACGGGAGGCGGGCGTGAGTCCGGCAAGCGCCAGCTCCTGTCGTGCATCGCCCAGCAGTCGGGCCAGGGAGCCAACCAGCCCCTCCAGCCCCGCCACACGCGCCTCCGCGATGTCGGTTTCGCTCCGTTGGGGCTGCGGCGGCGTTGGTGGTGGATCCATCACTTTAACACTTTTTTTTTACGTCGCTTTCGTTCTTTTGCCTCCTCTCCTTCGCTTTCGTTCTTTACAAGGGCCGGAGGGGACAAGCGCGTTGTTTGGGCGCTTTTGGTTGTCCGCCTCTCTGGTTGGGGTGATGAAGGGTGTTCGGGTACTAATAAATAGTACCTCATTTACCGACCGAGAAAAGCGTCGAGAAATAAACAATAAACGATATACAAATTAAAAAAGAAGAACGTGCAAGAACGCAGTGTGTCTTTCACGAAGCCACCTGGCAATCAGGTTGGTCTGTTGATGGAGTTGGATCATGGACATGAAGGGAGAGGAGAAGAGGCCGGTGGTCGGAAACAGTGAGGTCGGGCACCACTCGGAGTCGCGCGTCGACCACGGCCCGTTGGAGGTCGTTGGACAGCCACGCGTAGTCCACCCGCGTGCCAGCCCAGCACGTCCACCCCTCGGTGTGAACCTCCACCTCTTCATCATCGTCATCGTCATCATCGTCTCCAGCTTCATCATCGACCTTGTCGCGTGCATCGTCTTCATCGTTGTGATCGTGTGCGGTGGTGGTGGTGTGTCGGACGTCGGTGTAGCCGAGCCGGCGCAGCAGCTCCGTGGCCTCGGCCGAGGGCGGGTCCAGTCGCGCGCCCTGGCGCCTGACTCCGATCCGCTCCCACTCGCCGTCGTCGTAGTCCTCTCTGCTCGTCCGGCCGTGGTGCGGTGGTACGGGTGGGCGTGTGCGTGTCATGGTTACTCTCGGTCACCCAAAACAAGAGGAATTCGAGGAGGCGGATGATTACCGGGAGAGGGCGTTAAAGTCGCCCAATAGCGCGCGGAGAGGGCCGCAGCCGGCTTCGTCGAGGTAGGCCACAAGCGACTCTATCTGCGCCGTGCGACGGCTCTCACTGGTGAGGCGCACACGAGTGAGCGCCTCATGCGAGCCATCCATATCGTGTGCGTGTGCGGTGGTGCGTGTGTGTCGCTGCTTGAGGGGGAGTTACTGCAGGTGGTCCAGGTGCACGCTGAATATGTCGACGGCGCCGAGAGGCCCGCCCGTCGCCACCCGCAGCCCTACGAGCGGCCGGTCCTGTCCCGACTAGTGCGGCGGCGGCCACCCATCATCAGTCGTCGTCACAATCTCAGCCATGCACGAGAGGCCGAAGTGGACCCTACCGGGGTGGGGAGGCGGTGGAGGTGGCGGTGGGTGACGGGCAGACGCGACGCCACCGCGCTGCCGCCCGATTCGGCGAGACTGAGCCACTCCCACGCCCATGGCCAGCCGTCCTCCGTGAGAGTCTCGCCCTCCAACGCTACAGGACGACACACGACACACGAGCAGGCGTAAAGCGTGAGCGGGTGGCGATGGGCGGCGAGTAGAGGCGTACGCAGGGCGAGCAGGGACTGGAAGAGGGAGAGGTCGGTGCTCTTGGGGTCCTCCTCGCCCTCCGCACCAAAGTCGTCGGCGAACCACCGCGGTCGTGCATGCACCTCCTATTCAAACACGTGTGCCACACGCACATCCAATCTTGAGTCGAGGAGATGCGGGGGGGGGGGTACAAACGCGTACCTGGAGGCACAGGATGTGGGGGCGCAGCTGGCGCAGAAGGGCGGCCACCCGCCGCGTGTTGGAGCGACGCCAGCGGTCTTGCCACGAGTGCACGTTCAAACTCACCACACGCACCTCCATCTGATATTTATTTATTTATTTATTTACTCAAAGAAACTGATTGCTTCACTCGTGTGCGCTTGATCAAAGTTCTCAATATCTTTTCTTTTCTCTTTGCTGACGCCACGCCAGTGTTTAACCACAACTGGGGGTGTACATGTTGAACCTCTTGACTTGCTCACAAGGCCCGACGGCGGCGTCTTCATGATGTGATGGCGTGGTGGGTGGCGATGAGAGCCGTTGGTCAGAAGCCGAGGCCGAGCGGGTAGGGTCCGGGGGTGAAGGGCGAGGAGGGGTGGGGCAGGAGCGGGTAGTAGGGGAGGGTGAGGACGTGGTTGAAGAGGAACGAAAACATCTGCTCCTCCTTGGCCACCGGGAAGAACACCCCGCTCGCCGCCAACAGCACCTTCAACGCACCCCACACCTGCACCATCATGATTCATTGAATGAGCATTTCACCACCAACATCAAGAACATATAAACATATATCATCATATATCATCACATATCACCACATATCATCTCTACATTGTATGTAAGAATGGCGTACGCGAGCGGGGGAGGGGAAGGGGGCGAGAGCGTAGGCGGTGCCGTAGAGGGCCACCATGAAGAAGTGGGTCATCAGAATCCACGGCTTGGCCTTGGTGCTGCGCTCAAGAAAGAACGAAGACGACGGACGATAAGAAGAATGAAGCCGCAGTCATCACGACCACCGGGGGGGAACGTACATGGCGAGGAGGTTCATGGGTCCGGAGGCGCAGATGCCGCCCAGCTTGAAGTACCCCATGCAGGCCTCTCGCATGGGACCCAGCGTGGTACCTACATGCACGTACGTTGCGGTCGGGGCCGTGTGAGGAAGACCACTCGTGTGTGTCGTGTGTGTCGAGCGTGATGTGTGCGTGGTGTGCGTGCCGTGTGTTGTGTGAATGATGTCATGGGAGGTTACCGGGGCCCGAGGCGAAGAGAGTGTAAAGGCAGTAGGAGAGGATGTTGACCGTGGAGGCCGTCGGGTAGCGCAGGGAGTGCCACTCCTTGATCGCGCTCGCCACCGCCCTCGCGTTCGCCAAGTCTAGTTTGTTGTTGTTGTGGTGGTGGTGGTAGTGGTGGTGGATCATTTTAGTCACCTCATCATCCAGCAGTGAATGCATTGTGGACCACGTCACACTCACTTACCCTTGATGTGGCGGAGGGTATCGCGGAGGATGACGACGTCGTTGAAGGCCACCGACATGCCGCCGCCCGTGAGCGGGTGACCTGTTCATTGAAAGACGGCCATGTGTGTGTAAATTGTTTGAAACACACAAGCAGTACCATTGGGGGGCCGGGGGCGTACGCATGTTGTAGCAGTCGCCCACGAAAATGGCACCGTTGGGCCACCGGAACGGACGCGGGTGCAGCTTCGAGTTGGGCATCGACCGGATCTGATGATGACGAGGCATCGTCCGTCCACGTCAATGAAAATGAGCATGTCGTTGCAATGGAGCAATACTACATGTGGCCAATCAATACAACACGACACGACACGACACGACACGACACGACACGACACGACACGACACGACACGACACGACACGACACGACACGACACGACACGACACGACACGACACGACACGACACGACACGACACGACACGACACGACACGACACGACACGACACGACACGACACGACACGACACGACACGACACGACACGACACGACACGACACGACACGACACGACACGCAGCACGTATACCTGGCCGTTGTCGAGGGCCTCCAGGAAGGCGGCCCGCACCACCGGCGGCAGCTGGGGCGCGGTCACCCTTCGCAGGTAGTTAGGCAGCTCCCTGTGCTCGCATGCAACCAATCATCAGCAAATAAAATCGTTGAAAGACGATTGGCCCATCATCACCGGGCAGGCGTTGAGTACTTGGCGGAGGTGCCGGGCGTGTCGACGGGGATGTCGATGAGCATGCGCGTGTCCTCGGAGGAAATCTGATAGGCCAGGGCCGGCGCCGGCTCGATCAGGAACACGTGGCCGTGGTTGGCATGCATCAGCGGTGCGCCCTGCAACCCGCGATCCCGTTGGTTAGTGATCAGCTCCCGCGAGAAGTTGACGACAATGATGGTGACGGTGATGATGATGAACGAAGGAAATCATACATTCATGAGGACGCCCACGAACTTGGAGACGTTGCGCGGGGTGGCCTCCTCGAGCTGGTCCCGGAAGCGCGAGAAGCATCCATCGCACACCACCGTCAGCGCCGACCGCACTTGCTGCATTCGACCGTGGCATCAAAACAACAAACAATCGACCCAACCAACGATTTGTCAATGACATCATCGTCGTCATCACCATCTGGGAGAGAAGAGGAATGCGAACCTTGAGGCCGTCCTTGGCCTTGTACTCAACGCCGACCACAGTCTCCTGACCGTGGCGCATCTCCTTGATGAGCTTCGTCACCGTGCCCTCCACCACCTTCACGCTGCGCCAGGTGGGTCAGTCATGTATGTAACTCATAGGCGGAAAGAGAGAAGACGAAGAAAAAGAACGAAGACGACGAGAGGGGTACTTGGGGGCGCGGGCGGCGGCGCGGCGGAGCTGCATGACGAAGCGGCCGTGGTGGAAGGACACGCCCCGCACGGTCTCCCCGTCGGGCTCGGGGTAGGGGAGGGCCACGCCCTCGCTCCCCTCCGGACCCGACATCACCGCGTAGCCCTTCACCTCTACCCCGTCGATCCCCTCCACGCACGCTACACAAATACAACAATATTAAATCTATTGCTTTGTGTTAAAAACAAAAATTATACCATTTAATTTATTTGTTATTATTTTACGGTTGTAATACATCTTAAAATAAAATGAAAAAGAACGAAGAGCGAAGGGAGGGGGTGTACCGCCGAGGCCGAGGTTGCGGAGGGCAGAGAGGCCGCCGGGCTGGAGGAGCTCGCCGACGATGCGGTTGGGTTCGCGGAGGTCGCGTTCGATGAGCACCACCCGGCGGCCGTCGGTGCCGAGGGCGTGGGCGAGGGCGCTGCCAGCGATGCCCGCCCCGATCACCACCACCTCCGTCTCCTCGTAGGCCGACAAAACTGTCGACACCACCGGAGGCAAAGATGATGATGACGACGAGGACGAGGACGAAGTGTAGTGTGTGTGAAGAGGCAACCGAAGCGGGGCGGCATCCATCGCAGAGGCGTGCAAGTGGAGGCCCACCACTCGGGCTCTCCGCGCTGCCGCCTGACCTCTGGAGTTGCTGCTGCCTTCCATCTGCGCCGGCGGTGTGTGGTAAATAACAATAAATAACTAAAGTGTTATTGCTTTAGTTTGTGCGGTCTGGAATGTCGTTCTCGGCAAGTGACGCCAGAAGAGAAGAATGAATGACCCACAGCGCGCAGCGTACGTCACAAGAACGCTGCGGTGATGAAAACAAAATAAAAGAAAAAGCAATACAACCAACAACACACCACACCGACCACGGAGTTGAGACAACAAACGTGGCGCAGGTCGGGCATTGGCGCTCGCTGCCGAAATCCCCTCGCCATCGCTCGTCTCTCTCCTGCCCGTCTCGTGCCTCTTCCTTCTTCTCGGCCGCTCCGACGTCGGCCATCACGGGCGGTGTGGACCGGTCAATACTCGGTCGCTTGTACATTCCACGCACGCTCGGTTTAGGCCGACGAGCTGCTGGGGGCTGGGACGGCGTTCTTGGGGGCAATGACGGCCAGCAGGAGGTGGTCCGAGAAGCCGGCCGGCAGCGACTCGTGCGGGAGCTTGTCGCCGTTGGGTCCCGTCGGCACGATGTAGACCATGTACCCGGGCGCCAGGCCAGCCACGCGTCGCACCACGCCCGCCTATAGGCGCACAACCAACAACCCGTGTAAGATGCACGTCAATGAGAGAGAGAGAGAGAGAGAGCAGTGGTGGTGGTGATGACGACAACGACGAAATGGGCGGTGTGGCGTACGCGGTCTCGCTGGAGGAAGTAGTTGTAGATGACCTCGTACTGGGCCTGAGAATCGGGGCTCTCGGGCGAGGCGCGTACCAGCAGGAACGTGGTGCGCACGGCGGGCATGAAGCGCACCACGTTGGCCAGACCCGTGCGCTCGGTCACTGGCAGCTCATCAGGCAACTCCCTGCACACACACATTTCCCAGACGCTGAACGTGAGAAGCTTGGTCGCTGCGCACGACACACACACATATTTATACACACACAACACACGTCACCGCACGCACGGCAAACACGGGCGACGTACAGAGGATAGACGGTGGTGCCGGCCAGGTAGAAGGCCTCCACGGGGCACGGCGCACCAATGCCGATGAGGGAGCCGCGCCACACGGGCTCGGGCTCGATGTCGTCCAGCGGCTCGATCACCGGCTCCTCGTCCTCCTCGTCCACCTCCTCCCGCTTGTTGGCGCCGCCCTCCTCCGTAGGTATAGCCCCCCTGGCCCCGTCGACCGCAATGGCCTCCGCTGCCGTCTCCTGCGCTGAGGCCGCTTCCACCACCTGAGCGGACGCCGGCGACGTCTCCGTTGACGCAGCCGCGGCAGGCCCCATCGGCGTCGTGGGCACGGCGTAGTAGGCACTCCCACCACCGGCGGCGGCGGCGAGCCTGGAATCTTGCTGCTGGGAGGCGGCGGCCGCCATGTAGGACGGGGCGGCCTGGTAGTCGTAGGCGGTCATGGCGTAGTGATGCTGCGGCTGGCCGGGGTACTGCTGTGGCTGGGCGTGGCCGTAGCCGTAGCCGTAGTAGGGGAGCTGGTGGTGCTCCGCGTAGGCGGTCGATCCGTACGGATGGCCTGCCGCGAACTGATTGTAGGCGGCCTGCTGGTCCATCTGGTAGGTCTCGGCCGAGGCTGCGGCGGAGCTCCTGGTGATGATGGCGGGCTTGACGATGGTCATACTCGAAGACGGCGTCTTCTGCGTGCTGTGGCCGTTGTTGTTGTTGTTGTTGTTGTTGTTGTTGTTGTTGTTGTTGTTGCGCACGTTGCCGCTGCCGCCAGCGGTGTTGTGCTGAGCGAGCGATTCCAGCGCTGTGTGCGTTTCCGGCACAGGCAACGGAGCTTGGCTGCCGTCGTACGACGACGCCGGCGGTGCTGTCTGGGTGGTGTCCTCGGCCAGCATACTATCGACGTCGATATGCTCCCTGCACAATCAACACAAGGCAGCCGCGCAAGTTAGACACACACACAACACACAACACACACAACACACACACACACAAACAGGAGAGAGAGAGAGCGAGAGGTACCTTGATCCCTTCCTGGAGTCATCGGCGCTCCGGTTGGGTGAAGACGTCCGCGACCGGGACCCAGAGCGTCGGCGAGGAGAAGGGCTCCGGTTGTCTCCATCCCGGGCGGGGGGAGTGGGCGAGCGGCTGATCGAACGGCTCCTGAAGCTTCTTCCCCGCGGACGTGAGCGGCTGCGTGACCGACTCGGACTGCGGCTGCGCGGCGAGTCGGGACTCCTGCTGCGACTTCTGCTCGGACTACGCCTACGGCTCCTGCTCGGGCTGCGGCTGTGGCTGCGACTGCGGCTGCGGCTGCGGCTTTTACTCCGGCTCCTACCCCGGCTGCGACTACGGCTGCGACTTCGACTTCGGCGATTGCGCTCCTCCTGGCATGGTGGTGTGTGCGTGGGCAGCAACAACAGCAGTACATGGGCGGTGAGCTTCGAGGGATGGCACGTCTGCGCGCGCGCGGTGCCTGTACCGGTGATACGGTGCCGACACGTAGGACCCCGCACGTGCGGCCTCGCTTGAGAATCTGCAGGTGGTGTTCCCCCACCGGGTCGAGGAAGATGATGTGCGCAAAGTTGCGTTCTGTCCAGGCCAACCCAATGTGTGAGCGGCGAAACTGACGCGTCAAGTTCTCAGTTGAGCAATGTGGATGGCACGCTGAGGGGGGGGGATAGTAACTGGGGTAGAACTTGATCTCCCGGATGGGTCCGATGCGATCGAGCTCTTCGCGGAGTTCGCCCTCGCAGCGATAGTCAAATGCGTAATCCGGAGCAAAGCCCTCAATGTACACGTCCTGCGCATTGTTCGAGTTAGCCTCGCACTCTCTCTGAGAGTGACACACGACACACGACACACGACACACGACACACACAACTGCACATACCGACATACGTACCCGGCGCCGATCTTGGCGGCCAGTTGCCTTGGTATTTTCCTTTCGCTGCCTTTCCTTGACGCTGTCGGAGCGAGCGTAGTCCAGCGTGACGCACTGGGTACCCAATCGTAAGCCCTGCAATGTGGTGCGTGAGGCATGTGGCATCGTGTACGAAGTGTGCACGAATCGATGAGGCCCTCGTACGCGACCCGCGTCGGCATGTGTGGAATGTAAATCGAACCTGGAGGTACTTGTGGGCCTTCTCCGCGGACCTGACCGAAACAAAGTCGACGAAGGCGTGAGACGGGAAGCGGGAGACCGATTCGACCTTGCCCACGCGCGAGAACTCGTCCCACAGCTTCCGCTTGTGGACACCCTGGTCCAAGTTGCCCACCCACAGATGTCTGCTGTGCTCGCCCTGCTCATTCACCACCGCCACGACCAACGTTGATACACGGGAGCGTGAGTGGCACGGAACCTGCGGAATGGTGTGGATGTGCGTGCGTGCGTGATGGTAACAGTACCTCCCAGAATGTGATGGTGCCATATTTGCCCTGTTCCTGCATGGCGGACTTGGCGTTGATGGCGACGCGCGGGTTCTTGAAATCGACACAGGCAACGCGCAGCCCGCGTTCGAGCTTCTTGATTACCACATTGTCGACCACGCCGAACCGGGAGAAGTTCTTCTCGATCTCGGCCTGTGTGATGTCGCCACGCAGCTCCACCTTGAGGTGCCTCGTCTCGGTTGGCGCCTCTCCGAAACCTCTGCTCCGCTTACTCCGCTCTCGCTCCAGGCTGCAGCTGCTTTGTGATCTGTCGCTCTTTCAGAGCATGTTCCGCATGTGTGCGCGTGTGTGCGTGTGTCTTGTGTGTTTAATTGTCGTGCGTGTCGTGTGTGTAGTGTACCTGGAGCGCTTGGAGCGGCGATCGCCTGGGCTGGCGCTGTGGCGGCGCTTGCGTTTGCGCGAGCCGCGATGGGGCTCGGAGCTTGCCGAGCGAGGTGCGCGCCCGCCGGCGGGACGATCAGGCCGATGCCCCTCGGGATACTATAAACATGCGGTGGCGAGTGAGCCACCAATCCGGGAGCACCCACATTCGCAGGCCATATATACTGGACGCATGAACGTTCATGTAATCCGGCGTATGCATGATATTTGGCTTAAAATCCAGAGCAAGATCAGGCATGTCGGGATCTAGTCGGATGTGTATCATCAATAGAGTCGCGAGTAAAAAGAGAAGGCAAGCACGTACCTCGCCATAGCCCACCGTGAGACAACAATTCTCGATCATGCGGCCGTTGAGGCGCTTCTTGGCCTGCACCGCCTCCTGCAAGATCTGGAACTCCACCACCGCGTAATCGCTCGCTGTATGGCGGGGGATCACCACTGGGTCAGGCCATTACAGCTAATGTTGTTGAGCTCACAACTGTCGTGTCGCGTACCGGGAATGAAGGCGATGTTGCGAACAGCTCCGTAGGCGCTGAAGGTCTGGTTGAGCTTCTCGAGGCTGATGTCCGGCGTGAGGGGTCCGGCCCACACAAAGCGGGACGGGCGCGTTTCGCCGTAGTGCACGAGGAGGCGACACCCCTTGAGCATCACCCCCTGTTCATTCGCGCATTAGCACGCCGCGCATTCCTTGCATTCCCTCCCCCCTCCTCTCTCTCTTTTTCGTAGAGGGGCACGAACGTGGAGCTTCTCCTTGGCCTGCACGGCGGATTCCTTGGCGTAGAAGTTGACAAAGCCGTACGCCTTAGTGGGCAATAGCTCCACACTCTCGATGTCGCCAAAGGCCCCGAACGCTGTCCTGCGCGATGCAGCCATTGATGCATTGTCATGGAGGCGCTAATGCCAATGCGGTTGGTGTGATCATGCGTTTTTTTACCTGAGGTCACGATCGGTGAAACGGTCGGCGTTGCCCACCCAGAGGTGGCGCGAGGGCGGGAAGTTCTTGTTGCGCCCTGGGCCGCCGTTGAGTTCGCGACTCTTGCTGCGATTTCGAGGGCGGTGGCGGCGGCGATCGGGACCTCTGTCCCTATTTCGGTCGTTGTCCCGAGACTTGCGCTTTCTGTCCCTGGACCTGCGCTTGACGGAGCGCTCCCTTCGTCTGCTCGACAACTCGTCGTCGTGGTCGCGGCTGTCGGCGCCGCTACTGTTGCCATTGCCATTGTCACCCTCGCGAAAGTCCTGCAGCAGACGCTGAGCGGCCACACGCACTTCGGCCGACATCTGCTCCCATTTCTAGGGGGAAGCGTCAACGTGAGAGCCATGTCCAGTTGTGGGTGTGTGGTGTGTGGTGTGTGTGTGTGTGGTGCATGTGCATCTTGTCAATGGCTTGGTTTGGAGGTACTTTCTGCAGCTCGACTTCGAGCGACTCCCTCACGGCGTCCCACCAATTTTTGTTATGCTTCTTCGTCACCACCAGCTGGGATGATAAGATACCAGATATAAGAGCGTAAGCGTAAGCGCGTAAGCCAACTCTTCGTCGAAGAAGACGGTCCGCGATATAGCGATGGTGCGATGATCATCAAGCAGCAGTATAAGATATGCGCCAGCGTGATCTTGCGGCGACGAGACGAGTAGCAAGTAAGGAAGGGGCATAAACCATTTCCTGGAGCAATACGATGGCCTCAGGCGACCCAGAGCCAGCAAGTGCTCGCTGCACCAGGGCATGGATCACGGCTGTAACCATAGACCAATGTTATACCGGGGTATGCATATGCGAGAACCCGTGCAGTGTGTACCTTGAAAGCTGTGGTCGTTGCTCTTGGCGAGGTTGTAGGTGAGCACACCAGAGTTGCACACGCTCGGCGCCTGCGACTTTATCTCGAGGATGGCGTCAATGGCATTGGGCACCGCTTCGGGCAGGCTCACGGCGACCTTCACTATTGCCTCTGCCGCTTGTGCCGTCTCCTTCCGTCGATCGTCTGCGGTCGATCCCTGGCGCCCCCAAGCAAAGCAGGAATGGAGTGAACTCATGGCATGGGGGGGACTGTGAGAGGGAGGGCAAGTACAGGAAGGTGTTCGTTGGCAATGCGCAGGAGGACCAAGATTGTGTCGCTAATCATCTTCGGGTGGAAGGGCGCGTAGATGGGAATATGCTCCAGCGCAAGCTCGCGGCATCTGGAGTCCAGGGCACCAGCGTCGAGAAGGTATTCGAACGCCTGAAGCACGTCCATGGTGAGCATCTCCAGCAGAGCAGTAATATATTGAGTCCCTTGATCTCGGCTTGCACCACAGCGCATCTTCATCTCTGTATGTTGGTGTCTTGAAAGATAACAACGGTTAGATGGGCTGTACCGCGGTGTTGCCAGAGTGTAGGGCGCTGGCGCTGGCAAGCGTGTTGAGGTGGGCAATGAGCTGAGCCTCCTCCATGCCCGAGTAATAATACACTGATGGTCTGGTTGTGTGTTGTTGAAAACTTGTGGTTGAATAGAAAGAAAAGAAAGTGTTGAGCTTCTTCTTGTACAGACAGCCGTTTGCTTGCCTTTTTCGGCCACGAGAAAATCGGGGGTTTATGATTTCTTTTTGTCCTGTATGGGGTTAACTGAGAATTCCAAGAATGGTGAGCTGCCGCACGCATCTCGAACGGTGCATTTGACAACGGATGTGAAAAGATAGGTGAGTGGCTCCTAAGATGAAGGTGTGGAGGAGAGGAATCCGTACGAGCATGGCGCTACGGGAGGTGGGTGGAATGGGAGGAGTGCCGACGTCGCGCCATCTGAAAGTGTGCGTGGTGGGCAGCGGGCCTGGCGGCTTCTACGCGGTCGAGGCTCTGCAGCGCATGGCAGAAGAGGTCAAAGCAAAGGGGCAAGCACCAGAGATCGCCCTCGACGTTGACATCTACGAGCGTCAGGCCGTGCCTTACGGTCTAGTGCGATTCGGCGTAGCGCCTGATCATCCCGAGGTGAAGGCGGTGCAGCATCGATACGACGCTTTCATGGCCGACCCTCGCCTGCGCTTCGTGGGCAACGTTTCCATCGGCTCTACAAATTCAATTTCTCAATCTTCCTCGAGCGGGGCTGCCGCTCTGTCGGTGGAGGAGCTACTCGGAGCTTACGACGGCGTGGTGCTCGCCGCGGGGGCGCAACGCGACCGCCCGCTCGGCATCGAGGGCGAAGATCTGCCTGGCGTCTACTCTGCCCGTACGTCTCTCACTTTTGTTTTTTGCTTTTATTTAATTAATATATATACTTGTACAGGCGAGTTCGTGGCGTGGTACAACGGCGACCCTGCGATGCGGAGCCGACAGTTCGAGCTTTCTTCCTCTCGCGAGGCTGTAGTGATCGGACAGGGCAACGTCGCGCTCGACGTCGCGCGGGTACACACTCTCTCTCTCTCGCTGTCTCATTGCATGGTTAGCCTTCTTCCTTAACGTTACGTGAGCAGGTGCTGCTGCATGAGCCCGGCCAGCTGGCCTCCACCGACATGCCCGAGTACGCGGTCGACGCCCTGCGCCGCTCCCAGATCGACACGGTGCACATCGTGGGGCGACGCGGACCCGCGCAGGCCTCATTCACCAACAAGGAGGTGCGGGAGATCCTCAATCTGCCCGGGGTCCAGTGCCACTTCCTGCCATCGGGCGTGCTTGCCCTCAACGAGGCCTCCAAGGCCGAGACTGCGAAGGAGCGCGGCAAGAAGCGCATGATCGACCTCTTCGCCGCCACGGAGAAGAAGGTGCGTTACACCCTGTGGAAAGCCTGTCCCGCGTCGAGTGCCTTCAAGGCTGAAAACGAACGACGTGGCTTGGAATGTGGTGTATGCGGCCAGGCCGGAGAGACGAAGGGCGAACCCAAGAAGAACCTGTACTTCCTCCTCTCGCCGCTGCGCTTCCTGGCCAACGAGAAGGGGCACGTGAGCGGCATCGAGCTCGCCCGCAACGAGCTGCAAGGCGAGGCGGGCAACCAGAAGGCCGTCCCCACCCACGAAAAGGAGACGCTCGAGTACCACTGCTTCCCCCCTTCCCCTCCTCTCCACATCGCTTTCATTCTCTGGCGAGGTCGTGTAACGGGCTCGTGGTGTTGCTGACCGCGAACGTGTCGTCGTTGCTTCTGACATTATGGTTGGGTGGTGCATCAGATGCGACGTCGTGTTCAAGAGCATCGGATACAAATCCGAACCTCTGGAGGGCGTGCCTTTCGATCACCACCGCGGGGTACGTGTGTGCGCGGGGCCAAGTATGAGCCGAGCAGTTCTCACACCGCCTTGTTGCCTGGGCAGGTGGTACCCAATGAGCACGGCCGAGTCGTGCGACCCGACGGCAGCACGGTGCCGGGGCTCTACGTGTCGGGCTGGATGAAGCGCGGGCCGTCGGGGGTGATCGGCACCAACCGCATGGACGCCGAGGAGACGGTGGCCTCCATGTGGGCCGACCTCGCCGCGACACGCCCCGGCGAGAAGCCCGGCTGGCGAGCGATCCAGGACAAGCTGCGGGAGCGGCAGGTTGCCTACGTCGACTGGAAGCAGTGGAAGGCCATCGAAGACGAGGAGCACCGACGCGGCCAGGTAATCACCTTCATCCATATATCGGCCTACATCATCGCTCACCCTCATTCTTGTTCCTCTCTCCCTTCGCCTTCATCTTCGTCATGTCCGTGCAGGTGCTGGGCAAGGAGAGGGAGAAGTTCACGTCGGTTCCCGAAATGCTCGATGTTGCGTTCAAGCAGTGAGCAGTGTTTGGAATCATCACCATTGGTTGCGTTTTTACTCCTTTTTTTTGTTCCGGTTGGTGCTGCAGCTTTTATCACTTCACTCCTGCTTCACTCGGTCACGGCCGCCTCGACCGCCACGGCCTCCGCGGCCACCCCGACCACCGCGCCCGCCTCGGCCTCGGCGCCCGCCGTTGGCCCGCCTGGCGCGCTGCTCCTCGTCGGCGCGGCGGTTGCTCTCCTTGCGGTCGGCCTGGATCTTGCGGTAGTAGTCCTCCTCGGCCTGGCCCGACAGCAGCGTCGGCTTGAGCAGCTTCAAGCCCGGCAGCTCCGGAAGCTGCAGCCCGTCCTTCACCGCCGCCCCGGCCTTCTCCACCGCCGCCTCGTCCTGTTGTGTGTGTTGTGTGTGTTGTGTGTGTGTGTGTGTGTTGTCACAATGGTCAGCCGCGCGATGAACGACCCGAGAGAAGAGACAAAGCGACGTTGCGTGTACCTTGAAGCGGACAGAGCAGTGCTTCTCGGCCAGCTCGACGTAGCCGACGTCGCCGAACTGGCGGAAGTACTGCTTGATCTTGAGCTCCGGGGCGACGGGGCGGTTGGCGGCGCCGTCCTTGGTCTTCTGCTTCTTGGCCACGCTCTCGCCATCGGCGTTGAGCTCCTCGACCGTGTCCGCCTCCTCCTCCTCGCCCTCTCCCTCCTTCTTCTCCGTCTTCACGGTATCATCGCGCTTTCGCTTCTTCGAGGCCTCATCGCGCGAGTCCTCCACGTCGAACCACAACAGCAGACCCGGCGTGAACTCGAGTCCCTTCTTCTTCCTGCACCACCCCACCGATGGAACGCACACATCAACGTCAACATCAACACGGCACATGTTTTGTGTTGTTTGTTTTGTGTAGAACGAGTGTAGTGGTGGCCGTACGATTTCTCGACACCGAATAGCGTCTCCACGCACTGGCGACACGACACGACCAACGACACGACACGACGGCTGCAAGTCAGCTTACACGGACCGGAAGAGTGAAGTGGAAGGTGGTGATGGAAGGAATGAAGAGGAACCTTGCGGTAGGAGAAGTCGGCGGTGGTGTCGTCGGTGCGCACGACGTGGAAGCAGCGGGACTCGGGGTACTCGGGGTGGGATCCCACCTTGATGTGCTTCACTCCGCTTCCGATCTTCTCATCGGCCTTGGCGTGTCCCTGCCTCAGCAGATCGAGGACGAGGTTCTCTTCCTCTTGCTTCAGCTTCGCATTGAGACTGTGGCTGCGATTCCGTAGTTATAAAATTTTAAGATTTTAATTTAAGCCTTTCACAACTCGCCCAAACCGACCAAGAAGGCAGGGACAGGACTAATCCAGACGTTGCCTCTTGAATTGAAATAAATTGTAAAGCGAAATGGGAAAATCAGCGTACTTGAACAGAATATCCTTGACGGCACGGGCAAGCGTGTCCGACCTGTTGTATGTCTTTCCGCCCAAGGTCACTACGGTCCGGGTAGTCATTGCTGTGGTTTTTCTGAATGAAAAGGAAGGCGGTAAAATCGCGAGAGATGAGCTTTTCGGAGTAAGTCTTGGCCCATATTGTTACCGGAAGTTTCCCGGTTTGGTCTTGAAGAAGGAAATTGTTTTCTCGGTTGATTTCTTCGGCCCATTGCTCATTCGATCACATCAGGATGGACATCAAAGTAACGCCATTGGGTACGCACCCTCTCAACACGTGGGCCTTGCATTTCATGAAGCTGGCTACAAGAGCTAGCGTGGCTAGTATTGCCAGCCCTCGATTAATCGCACGGGTGTAGGGGCGGGCCAGGATGTGGGGCGCAGTTGTATTCTTGTGAGTCTGGGTGGCAAGAACATCATGTTCGATTGCGGCATGCACATGGGCTACGACGATGCCCGTCGCTTTCCCGACTTCAACTTCATCTCCAAGAGCGGCAACTTCACCAACGCCATAGACTGCATCATCATCACCCACTTGTACCTCCCTCTGCTCCAAGCGTCTTTGCACATGCTTGCACAGCTGGACTAGATGCTGATCGTCTGCTACGTGCGCTCTTGTTCTCTTCTTTTTCTCCTCTGTGCAGCCACTTGGATCACTGTGGCGCGCTGCCCTACTTCACGGAGATGTGCGGCTACGACGGACCCATCTACATGACGGTATGGACATCTCCTTCTACACGCATGCGCGCGTCGTGGAGTTGCCACGTTGCAACGTTGTTGTGGCGCTTGTTTCTTTGTTAATATATGAAAACGACCAGCACCCGACCAAGGCCATCTGCCCCATTCTGCTCGAGGACTACCGTAAGATCACGGTCGAGCGAAAAGGCGAGACCAACTTCTTCACCTCGCAGATGATCAAGGACTGCATGAAGAAGGGTATCGCTCTCTCTCTCTCTCTCTCTACATTCTACTTTTTATCTTCTTCTCCTCCTCCTTGTCGCGGGCTCTACATTCTGCCTTACGGCTCTACTCGACGTTGAATACTCACCAAGGGGCTGCACACGCACACACATGCGCGTTGGGTGGGTGACGTGGTACAACGTGCAGTGGTGGGGCTCAACGTGCATCAGACGGTGCAGGTGGACGAGGAGCTGGAGATCAGGGCCTACTACGCAGGCCACGTGCTGGGGGCGGCCATGTTCTACGTACGCGTCGGGGACCAGAGCGTCGTCTACACCGGCGACTACAATATGACCCCCGACCGACACCTTGGCGCCGCCTGGATCGAGAAGCTTCGCCCCGACGTACGTAGTGCTGCTACTCTGCTCCAGCTCTCTTACAAAAAGGCTGACTCCCCCAACTCTCTGGCGCTACGCGAAGGTGCTGATCACGGAGTCCACGTACGCCACCACGATTCGCGACTCCAAGCGGTGGCGAGAGCGCGACTTCCTCAAACGAGTGCACTCGTGCGTGGAGAAGGGTGGAAAGGTTTGCTTTGCCCTCCCCATTTTCGCCTGTGCGCTATGTGCGTGTTCAAGCCTTTATATATATATATATTAGACGTTGAGGACTTACACTGGTGCTGACTGTGGTTGTTGCCACAGGTGCTCATCCCGGTGTTTGCGCTGGGGAGGGCGCAGGAGCTGTGCATATTGCTGGAGACCTACTGGGAGCGGATGAACCTGACCGTGCCCATCTACTTCTCGGCCGGTCTCACCGAGAAGGCCACCAACTACTACAAGCTCTTCATCCACTGGACCAACGAAAAGATCAAGGTACTGGGACAACCTTTCCCGCACACGCACGCACACGCACACTTTCGGAATGTACGTTGTCGTGGGACTTACGCGGTGGTGGTGTCGCTTGCACAGCGTACGTTCGTGCACAGGAATATGTTCGATTTCAAGCACATCTCCACATTCGAGCGGGGTCTGGCTGACCAGCCCGGTCCCATGGTCCTCTTCGCCACCCCCGGCATGCTCCACGCCGGCACCTCCCTCGAGGTCTTCAAGAAATGGGCGCCCAACGAGAAGAATTTGGTCATCATTCCGGGCTACTGTGTGGTCGGAACCGTCGGCAACAAGCTGGCCGCTGGACGCAAGGTCAGAACCCGCTCTCTCATCGGTGCGCGCTGTTTGTTTGTACCAACGACGTACGTGCCGTGCGACAGGGTTCGTTCAAAGTGGATCTGGATTCGCGCACGTCGCTCGAGGTTCGCTGCAAGGTGAAGAACCTCTCCTTCTCCGCCCACGCCGACGCCAAGGGCATCATGCAGCTCATCAAGATGAGCCAGCCCGCCAACGTCATCCTCGTGCACGGCGAGAAGGGCAAGATGTACGTCACACTCCACATGGGCGGCCGCCGCTCGCGCGTTTTTTTCACTCACGACTCACGACTCCTGGGCGAGACGTGCAGGCAATCGCTGAAGCAGCGCGTGATTCGCGAGTTTGAGATTCCGTGCTTCGACCCGCCGAATGGCAGCACCGTCACCATCAAGACCGCGCGGTCGGTGCCCGTGCAGATCTCGCCCGCCCTCATTCGCGCCCACGCCAAGCGCCCGCTGCCTTCCTCCTTGACACCCGCCTCCTCCTCCTCGTCGTCGTCGTCATCAATTGGCATCGATTCAGAAGGAACCACCCAGCCTCCGCTCAAGCGCTTCAAGTGGACCGAACCCTCGCCTGCCGATAGGGCACTCCTGACCGGCGTGGTGCTGGTCAAAGACTCCCAGGTCGAGCACCCACGTGTGTAGAACGAGACCTCTCTCGTCGCGTGTGTTGCCGTTGCTGACTATTTTGTGCTTGATCGGTGCAGGCCATAGAGCTGGTCGATGAGGAGGAAGCGGTGGAGCGGCTGGACATGCCGCGCCACGCCCTCAAGTTTTCGGCCGTGCGCTCCTTCCCGGCCTTCATCTCCATCGAGGCCCTCCTCGACGAACTCTACGTTGCTCTCTCCAAGTACGCAGTCTCGCCTTGTCGTGTGTGTGTCGTGTGTCGTGTCTCATGTGTGGCATCGTCACACTATGCAAGCGCTGTGCTCACTGCGATGACCAACGTGCAGGCGGGTGGCGGCAGCGGCGTCGCGAGACGGGCGAAGCATCCGGGTGGCCGGGTCGGTGCGGATCAGTGTCAAGAGCGAGAACACGGCCCTCCACACGTCGTGGCACTATCGCGACGAGTCCCTCGCCCTCCAGGTGCTCGCCGTGGTCGACCGCCTCCTCCACGACCTCCCCGCGTCGCCTGCCGACGAGCCCGAGCCCCGCGACCTCCAGCTCCCGCACGACGACAACGAAGAGGCCGAGGCCGTCGCCTGAACTGTTTCTTGTTATTTTCCAAGTATAAAATAAAGAAATAGAAATAGAAATATAGGCACTTGGCAGAGAACATACAATAAGCGAAGATGGAAGAGGTGGACGACGTGTGGGACAGCCTTGCGGGTGCAGATGGTGCCGTGAAAGTGGAAGATGAGGCAGGCGTCGTGCGGCTCGTGGAGATGTGCGTGCGAGCCATGGTGTCGGCCCTTGCCTGCCCGCCCTCCCCTGCCAGGCCCGCCCCTTCGTGGGCAGCGCGTGGCGGCCTCGCCCCACTCCCTCCCGACCTCCTCCTGCACGTCCTACATCGCGCTGTACCCCCCTCTCGCTACGTTTTATTTTCTTTTGATAATATATTATTTAACAATGCTACTCGCTGACACAAGTGCTGCAGGTGTCGAAGAACGTGCTGAACGATCGCACGCTGGTGGCGTTCGTGGACGAGCGCATCGTCCACTTGAAGCTGTCCGGCGCGTCGGCGCACATCACCGACGCCGGCCTGGAGAGCATCACGCGCTGCTGCAGCGGCCTCCAGTCGCTCTCGCTCTATGGCGTCTCCAACTGCTCCCCCGACGCCCTTGCGCGCCTCTTCTCCGTATTCCCCTCCCTCCGACCACTCTACACTCGTGCTTTCGTAGCGTGCGTGCTACCTCTTGCATGAACCTGACCTGGTGTGTCGTGTGTGTATCGTGTGTGTCGTGCGATGGATACAGAGCACGACGTCACTGACGTCGGTGAACTTGTCCAAGTGTCCGGTGGCCACCAAGCCTGTCATCGACGCCCTCGTCCGCCACTCCACCGGCCTGCGCACGTGCGCGCTCTCTCTCTCTCTCTGTGTGTGTGTGTGTGTGTGTGTGTCGTGTGTGTGTGTCGTGTGTGTCGTGTGTCGTGTGTCGTGTGGCCACGCTGACCGACTCAGCGCTGACTTCTTTGTTGGGGGGAAATGGTGGTGGGTGGGGCCACTGTGCAGGCTGATTCTGAACAGGAACAATCAGGTGCGCGACGACTTTTTGCTGGGCAACCTGCCCCACGTGCCCCACCTGCAGGAGCTCGCCGTGCTGGGCTGTCCGCACCTCACCGGCCAGTTCCTCCGCGTCCTCCCGCACCACAACTCGCGCCTCACCGCCCTCAACCTCTCCCGGTACTCCTCCCCATCCACAGACACGGCACACGGCACACGGCACACGCCTCATGGAGGGGTGCACCAGGTGTACGCAGCTCAAATCGGACGAGCTGCTGGTGGAGTGCTTCAGCCGGATGCCCTACCTCCAGAACCTGAAGCTGGCCAAGCTGCGGAAGCTCTCGGATCGGGTGCTGGACTGTATCGGGGACCACCTGGCCGGGGTGCTCTGCGAGCTCGACATCCGCCTCTGCTCCTCCATCACCGAGAGCGCCCTCATCAGGTCCGTCTCTCTTCTTCTTCTTCTTCTTCTTTCTCTCTTTTGCGCAACTCAAGGGGCTGTGTTTCGTGTGTGTGGTTCGTAGGGTGCTTCCCAAGCTGCAGGAGCTCCGCATGCTGGGACTCCCGCCCCCGTGCCCCACCTCAGTGCTGGGGAGCCTGGCCGAAGCCCGCCTCCGTTCCTCCACGAGCTCTACCTGAGCCGCTCCGCAAGCGCAAGCGCCGAGGCACCTACCCGCTGCCCCGCTCTTTCAATCAACCACATGTGCCCCCTCTTGATTACTTTAAGGCCTTCTGCTAAGCCTGTGTGTCGTGTGTGTGTGTGTGTGTCGTGTGCGTGTGCGTGTGCGTGTCGTGTGTGTGTGTGTGTGTCGTGTGCGTGCGTGTTCTTCATCATCGCTCCAGGCGCTGCTTGCCCTCGTGGCCGCCTACCCCGCACTCGAGATTCTGTACGCCGCCCCTCTTCCTCTTCTGTGGGCGACACAGCTGACGCGCCACGCCGCCACTGCTTACAGGTGGGCAACGCGGGCTGCCGGACTGACCGACGGAGTCGTTACCACGATGCTGCAGCAAGGCCCCAAGCTAAAGTGCGCGCCTGCTTGCTGCCGCACACACGACACACAAAGAAGTCAGCGCTGAGTCGGTCAGCGTGGCCACACGACACACACGACACACGACACTCACGACATCCGCGTGTTGTTCATCTGTGCGTGCGTGCGTAGGGAGCTCTACGTGTCGGATGCCGAGCGCGCCGTCGGGGATTGGACCGCCGAGGCGTGGCCTCCCCGCCTGCGTCTCTTCGAAGCCGGCAACTCCCCCATCACCGATCAGTACCCCCCCCCCATCTCCCCTCCGGCTCTGTTCCCCCGAATCGGTCGGCCCTTTGGAGGGCTAACTCGTTCCGCGACGCTGCAGGGCCGTCGAGCAGCTGTGCCTGTTTTGCCCGCGGCTCGAGGTGCTGGACCTGGGCAAGTGCTCTCGCATCACCCCGCGCATGTTCGCACCCCCCCCCTACGGTGATTCCTTAATTATTAATCAATCGACCAACCAATCGACCAAACCGCACAGCTGCGAGTCGATCGGGCGCCTGGGGCACCTGCAGAACCTCAATCTCTCGGGCATCGCGGCCATCGACGACCAGGCCGTGGCGCGCCTCATCACCCAACGCACCGCCCACACCCTCGAGACCCTCACCCTCGCGTACGCCGCCACCGCCGCAGCCCACCTCCACCTTACCGCAACTGGCCTCCCCCCCCTCCACCACGCATTGCGTTGCGTGCCCCTCACCGACTCGCACACGCACACACGCTGCACACACTCACACGCACAGAGGAGCTGCGGGGTGAGCGCGGACTGTCTGGCGGTGGCGCTGCTGGGCCTGCCCAACCTGACGGCGCTCAACGTGCAGGACTGCGCCGGCGTGTCATGCCTCACCCGCGACCACCCGGCCGTCGTGGCCCTCGAGGCCCGACGCCGCACGTCGGCGCGCACCACCGTGGCCGGGGCCGGCGTGCCCCTGCACGACCTCTCGTCGCTGTGCCTGAGCGGGTGTCGCCATCTGGCGGGCACCACGCTCGCGACGGTGCTGGAGTGGTGCGGCCGCCTGCACGACCTGCAGTTCGCCGAGAACGCGGCGCTGGCCGACGACGACCTCGTCGCCGCGCTGCCGCGCCAGTCGAGCCTGCACGCCCTGAGCCTGGCCAAGCTGCCCCACCTCGCCTCGGCCGACCGGGTCGTGGCGGCCGTCGCGCGGGCCTGCCCGGACCTCATCTACCTCAACCTCTCTGGCACGCGCGGACTCTCCGACGGTGCGTGTCTCGCCTCTCTTCCCCGTGCGTCGTGTGTCGCTGTGTGTGTCGCTGTGGATGCCGCGGTGTGTCGTGCTGAAACGGTGTTGGTGTGTATCGTAGCGGGGTTCCGCGAGGTGCTGGAGCGGTGCCGGCTGCTGCAGACGATGCACGCGAGCCAGTGCGGCATCACGGACGACGCGCTCGAAGTCCTCCTCCCGCCCTCTCGCTGCGGGCAGGCCCTCCAGCTGCTCGCCCTCACTGACACCCGCGTGAGCAAGGACACCTGCGCCAAGCTCGTCCAGCACTTCCCCTTCCTCCAAATCCACTTCGGCGGCCGGTACCACAACACACACACACAACACACAACAACAACAACACACAACACACACGTGGAAACGCATCACTAAACATCGATCGATTGGGGCGCTAGGATCTACGACGGGGAGGAGTTCGTGGCAGCGCAGCGACCGCCGTACGTGGGCTTCATCCCGGGAGCGCGACAGACCCCCGACCCCGCCGAGGCCGGGCGTACCCTCGCCTACTGGCTGCTCGCCTCCTCGGCCGCTCTCCCGCCCGGCTACAACAGCCCACAGCTGTGAATAAATAAAACCAAAAATAAATAAATGTCCTTTCGATTTTTGTAATTGTTGTCGACGGTGGTAATGGCACAAAAAGGCTGACCAATGGGGGATAGGCGTGGCCTTTTTTGCTCTGCCCTTCCGCTTTTGGAGAAGGCGGTGGACCCTCTGAAGATCTTCAGAAAGATTGCGGGAGGCTGCACCAAGCTCATGAAGCTCATGGATCTTTCCTTCCTCTGTTCCCTCCTCTTGTTCCTCCTCGTCTCCCCAACGTTCCTACACGGGGCGAACGCCTCCTCTTCCTTCTCGCACCAAGATGAGGAGGATTTGGACTTTGGCATGTCGCTCGGGGAGAGGCTCGATGAGAACGACAGCGTCAACTGCAGCACTCGCCACTCGGTGCCGAGCTACTTCTGGGATTGGCTGCTCTTCCCGGTGGCGATCGACGATCTTGTGACCAAGCTGGAAGACCTCTCCGTCAAGCTGGGGGCGATCAACACTCAGCTCTCCTCGATGGACTTCGACCAGATCCCCGCCGACAGCGGCCTCAACTTTGCGCAAATCCTCCAGGCCAACTACGAGTGGCTCGCCGCCGAGGACGCCACCTCCGGAGGCGCCCTGGTCCCCTTCAACCGCCTCCTCGACGTCATGGAGACCAAGCTCGAGGGCGCCCTCAACTAATCAGTTGGTCCGGCCGCCACTTCCCTCCTCCTCCCTCATCTCACCCCGCTGCGCCCCCACACCTGAACTACCAAACAACCAATCTACCCGCTGTGTGCATTTCTCTCCACTCCCCTTTATTTTACAAATTACAAAAGCGCCCGGGTGTGAATCACCCAAGGCACCACCCCAATGTACACCCAATGTACACCACACCCAAGGCACCACGGGCACTACCGTGTTCCTTGCACCACCCAAGCAACGCTTGATTGAATCAGCCATTGCGCCACACTGTGTGCGTTGTTGGGCGAGCGAGCGAGAGAAAAAAAGAGTTGCAAGAAAACGAACGGCGCCGCGGCGCCACTGGTTTATGGTGGCGACGTAGGCCTCGACTCGGTTTGAAAGAGTACAAGCAGCAGCAGCAGCAGCAGCAGCAGCAGCAACACAAACAAGAGGAGGGGAATGCTTCTCGGCTTAGTCCTTCTTGTCCTTGTTGGCCGCGGGGGCGCCCGAGCTGCCCGTGAGGCGGCCCATGACACTCTGCACAGCGGCGCTCTTCGCACGCCCCGTGAGCTCGGACCAAAGCTCTGAGAGAAGTGGAAGAGGTGAGCAACACGAAGCCGCCGCTGATTAGCGAGGAGAGAGGAAGCAGGCAGGAAGGGTGGGAGGGGTTGGTACCGGTAGCAATCTGCAAGGGCACGTCGAGCAGGCCAGCAAGCCAAGCAGCGTAGGCCATCAGGCCCAGCACCACAAAGAGGAAGAGCAGCAGCGGGTTCCCGAGGAGGGCCATGATCTCGTTGAAACCGAGGATCAGCATCACCGCCCAGAAGAACGGCGGAATGCGCACGGCGATCTGGACGGACGGACGGACAACATGAGCAAGAGGAGCGGGTTGGCGGGCTCACTATCAAGATCGGTACGCACCTCTCTTTCCTGCTCCCGCTTGGCCTCAATGAAAGCGGGATCCGACTCTCGCTTGAAGGTGTCGCGGGTCATGTTGCATTGGTCCGCCGATATCACCACCAAGGACGGGTCCACACCTGTCGTCCCACACCACACATCGGCCGCGTTAGACCATCGACGGTACGCCTCGCCTCACGACAGCCAACAAGACGTACTCGAGGGGTCCAAAGAGCTGTCAAAGAAGGACAGATGACGATCCGACTCACGCAGTCGCACGATCGAGTAGGCATCCAATACGCCGTAGGCCTGTCGTCGTTGCGATGCGTGCCACGTATAAAGATGATTAGCCCGACCGAAAGGCAGGCACTACACCATTTACCGATGTGGGGGGGAGGCGAATGTTACCTGCTGGCGTGCCTCCTTGAAGGTCTCCTCGATGTTGTCGGCTTTGGACCAGCGACGGGGCAGGCCGTCGGGATCAAGGCGGAAGGTCTCATCGAACCTGGGCACGCCATGGACTAGGTTAGGAGACCATTCATAACTCGGGGAACCTTGGGGGGCTTGAGGGTACTTTTTCTGCATCTGGTATTGGATGTGCTGGCTTTTCTCGGTGAGCCGGTCCTTGATGACCGCAAACGCTCGTTCCCTCAGCTCTTCCTCCCTCGTGTTCAGCTCCTCTTCGCTGAGGCCAAGACCTGGGTGCGCATCGCGGTGAGTCGCATGGCAGAGAGGCACAGGAGGGCTGGAGGGCGCGAGAGCACACGTACGAGTGAGGTGGACGCGCAATTTAGCCTTGGCACCCTCGAGGGCGTGGTCGTGAAGGTCGGCGATACGTGGCCACATCTCGTTCGACGCTACATCGAGCTGCTTGTTCAGCTGGTTCATGATCGCGCTACGGAGCTTCTGCTGTCTGCGCTTCAGCAAATGGTCCACATACTGCTCACGCAGGCGCTTGACAAGCTCCTCGACATGTTCGCGGAGTGCCTGCAGTGATGTTGGTGCACGTGCAGAGGTGAAGGTTCAGAGGACAGCGCATCCATGCAGCATAGCGGCGTAAGAGGAAGAGAGGATGGAAGAGAGTCTCACCTGGCGCTCTTCGTCGTACTTCCACGACACACCGGGGACGAGAGAGGCTTGGGCGTTCCGCTCAAAGAAGGCGATGGCGTCGTCCTTCAGGTCGTGGAGGCGCGTGGGCAGGTCTGACAGCTCGACCTGTCATGCGGAACAGCGGCCGTTAGCATTCGGAAGAAAAGGAGCGCCACCAGCCAGGCCACACCGGCAGGTAGACACTACCTGGGGCGATTTTCCTTCCTTGGAATCAGAGGTGGATGGCGAGAGCTTCTTGGCGAGCGTATCGGCGTGCTGGATTGCGGCCTCGTAGATGCGCCTCATCTGCTGCAGGAAGAGCGCATAGCTGGCGTCCAACATCTTCTCCTTCAGCGCTGCCCCCTTACGTGCAGCGACCTCGGTGTGGTAGCGCGATGCGGGCGCTTCGTACTGGCCTGCACGGTTGTAGAGGGACGGTAAGCGAAAGAGCCAGTGCTGAACGGCAGGCTTGTTTGATGAGAGTATACGTACTGAGTGCTTCCTCCTCCGCTTGGCGCACCAGCTCGCCAAAGGCAGGGACAAACGAGCCCTCGGGGTTGCTGAGCTGTTGGCGCACGGGCTCCACGGCAGTGTTGAAGGAGCGGTACGCCGTTTCCATGAGCTCGTCGCAACGGAACATGGCCAGCATTTCCTTTTGCGTGGGCAGGTCCAGGTCCTTGCTCTCTTGGATGGTTTCCTGTATGGGCGGGTGGTGGAGTCGATTGCGTCAGGGGGGGGTGCGTTCGATAGATCCAACTGAAAAGGGAAGACGGCAGGCGCGGTACCCAAATGCGCTCGGCATACATCGGCCAGCCGTCGGCCGGCACGTCCTTGGCGTAGGCGTCCTTGAAGATGAAGTCAGAGGCCTCGGGGTTGGTGAACCTCTCCTTCAGTGTGTCCACATCAGCGGCAAACGTTGTGGCGTCGAGGATCTTGTGCGACAGAGACGTGTACATGATATCAAAGAAGTCGTGGACGCGCGAAGAGGCAAACTCCGGAGGCTGCAAGAGTCCAGGGAGTCAAGAAGAGGGTCTCGCGGTTAGTTGTGCTCAAGGGATAAGCTCCACACGTGCAAAGTATAGCCACTTCAGAAAGCCCACGAACCTTGGAGATGCCGCTCCAGATCTTTTCGAGGTCTGCCTCGACGGCCTGGGTGAGAGGCTCCAGAGGGGTCACGGCCCTCACGTGATCGCGGATCACGAAGAGCAGCAGCGTCTTCGATCCGGCACTGGAACTGCCGTGGCCCAAACGAAGAGGAGAGTGCATCAGAAGGCGTGTAGCAAAACGTGACACGCAATCCATTCATACTACTCTCGCGCACACGAGGCACTACAAGGAAGGTGGCAATACCTGTGCTTACCAAAGAGCTGCAGGTTGAGCTCAAACACGGTCTTGAGAAGGCCGTAGTTCGCCGCATCCCAGCGGCCAATGTCTTGGAACCACAAATTGATGATGAGGATTTCCGCCAGGGCGAGCGAAAAGAGAGAGGACTTGCGCTCAAAGCTCTGTTGGAGGCGGGTCAGCAGCGACCTGTACGGCACATTTTGATGCTGATTTGCGGGATCAAGAGCGCACCTTTTGTTCTTCGCCTCGCTCTCTGCCGTCCGTGCCTTCAACGTCCAGCACCAACGTATCGGTGGGTCTGCCGCGGATGGTGTTGGCTGAACATCCCATCCAGATGCCCTTTGTGGTCTGGGAGCGGCCGCGCTGCGAGTCCATGACTTGGAACTTGGTGCCAAACAGGAGATTCAAAAGTGTGCCTGCAGATTGATCATGTAAGGCCAATGCACTGAGTGCGGCACCCAGAGAAGTCTAGCACGTACTCTTGCCGCTCGATTGGCAGCCAAGAATGGAGACTACCCAGTAGTCAAAGCCCTTGTTGTCAAAGTTCCATTTGCCCATTTTGTTGCTCAATCCTTCCCTGTGACGGAGGTGAGTGATTGTTTACGGGGAGGAGAAATTGTCATCGGGCTGCCTCTACGTACACCCAACCACCATCCTCGTCAATGATTTGGATCATGTCGTGTGCATCTTCGAGAGAGACCACCGCCGAAGCGTTCGTGTCCGCGTCCATCATCGCGTGGTGTGTTGTTTCTGTTTGTGTTTCGCGACCTCACACGTCTGCGCTCGCGCCAACCGCCACCTTAAATAGAAGGCGGTTTTCTTCCCGCCAAAAAATTGCGCAAATTGCGCAAAACAAAATTGTTCACTCCAACGCTGTACGGTAGCAGGCGTGTGAGGTCGCACCCGGACTCTGACCTTCCTCTGGCCCTCCTGCCACTGATGCTGGCGCTCAACGCAAGCGGAGGAAGGAGAGGTCGCTGGCGGCAGCGGCCGGGGTCACGTTCTGGGCGCACTGCTGCGGGAAGCGCGGGGGGATGACGTCGGCGATGGCCTGACGGAAGGTGTTCCAGGGGCAAGGGCCGGGGGTGTTGCAGCCAAGGGTGGGCATGGGGCGGCCGTTGAAGAAGAAGCGCACGTAGAAGTCCCGCGACCCGCTCCTGCTCTGCCACAGCTCGATTTCCATGTGCGAGGCGTAGGGCGGCCAGTACTCGATGCTACCGAACCCGTAGGCGAACGACAGAGGCCACACTGTGGAAGTCACGGTGGAGTCAGTTCCGACGTCATCTTCCATCCGAGGGGAAAGAGGGAGGAGGTACGGGTGGTGTCGTGGCCCGAGAAGTAAGCGAGCTTGAGGCCGCCGGCCTGTCCGTTGACGGCCTGCTCGAGCCTCGCCACCTGCTCGGCGACGAAGCTTCCGATGCTGTTCTCCGCCACGCGTGCGCACACCGAAGTACGTGAGGGCCCGATGCAGCGGGGCAGCGAGTGCACTGGCGGGGAGGTGCAGATTGCGGGCTTACCCGAGAGCGCTGGCGACCTGGGTCTGGTTGTAGAAGTAGGCCATCTCGAACTGAGCATTGAGGGCGATGGCCTGCGCGAGCGAGTTGATGCCCTCGGGGAGGCGCTTGCCGTGGCAGATGCGTGCATAGGTCTCATCGAAGGCATCTGCGGCGCCCCAGACACCTCTCAGACACCACCACCGCACGCGCGTGTGAAGATGGACGGGACGCTGTACCGATGATGTCGAGGCTAGCATTGGACGGCAGGTTGAAGATGGACCTGATCTTGGCCTGCAGCAAGCGGACGTACAGATATCGTGTGAATGTGAGAGAGGTGCGCATTTGGGGCACACGCCACACGCCGCACAGTAGCAGTAGTAGTTGTGCGCGGACGTACGTCGAGAGGGGCGATCTCGCGCATGTGTGCGATCCAACCCGGGGTCTGCCTGAGCTCGTAGTAGACCTGCTGCAGGTGGGGGCAGAGCCTCGTGTTGGGCGTCATGTTGTCCATCCACGCGTCGATCGTGTGCAGATCGAACGCGGGCACCTCCGTCGACTGGCTGTCCGACGGCAGATACATCCCGGAGAGGAGGCTCTGCGTTGTTCGGGCGCGGCACAACAAAATCGCGTCAGCTCCAACGCATAGAAGAGGTGTGTGTGTGTGTTGTGTGGCGCTACGATACCTGAGCGGAGGCGATGGTACGGGGCACGTCGGTGGAGCGAACCCAGACCTCGTCCGACGAGAACTGCTTGCCGAGGAAGCCGTACTTGTCCACGTACACCTGCCTCAGCGAGTTGCCGAGGGTAAGGTGCTGCTCGCGACCCTTGGTCGTCAGTTGCCCTGCACGCCACCGGCCACGAAGAGCACGGAAGACACGTTAGGTGCGCACACGCACACGCACGCGCGCGCGTGAGAGGGCGATCGGTACCGAACATGCAGTCGCCGGGGAGCACCTGCCGATCGTTGAGGTAGCGCTTGCGGAACAGACGGCCCGGCTGCACCTGCGCCGCGTCGCCGCTGTGTTGAAGGAAACCCCATCCAACACGACGACACCGCCATATTCCCCCACCAATCCCACGTCAGGCAACGGGAATGGATTTGCAGCAGCAGCAGCAGCAGCAGGGTACACGATGGAGCTGCGCGTACGTGTCGATGGAGGAGAGGTGGGTGAGGTTGCACCGCCACTCGACGTCGTTGCTGCTGGACCCGCCCGGGTAGAGGCTCACGGGCGTCCTGTCTCCGTGCCTCGTCGTCACTGATGAGACCCACCAGCACCACCCCCGCCGCCGCCGCCGCCAATATAGAAACGCCGCACGGGGGGAGGGGGCATGCGCAGAGTAAGCACGTGCGTGGTGGCAGCAGCAGCAGCAGCGGCAGCGCGTTTAAAACGAACGGGCGCGCGTACAGATGAGGAAGCGGAGGTCCATGTCGGAAGGGGCGGCAGCTGCCGGCACGTCCACCTGTGCGCATAGAGACAGGCCCGGTTAGCACGGCTGGCTACAGTCTTTAGTATCAGAAAATATTATTTATAATGCTACATATTTGTCTATTTAATAAATGTATCGGGGTGCAAACGTTCTATCAATAAAGGGGGGGGGAGCAAGCACCGGAGGGGCACCACAGTAGGCGGGCAGAGCGGCGGAGCTGCCGAGAGGAAGAGCGGCGAACAGAATGAAGATTCCGATGGCAAGCATAGCGACGCGGGAGGCCAACATTGTGATGGGCAGATCTTTGGCAGAATGGTGCTCCTTCTTCCTGCTTGTCTCGGCGTCACGGGGGAGGAAAACGACCACGCCAACGCGTCGGCTATTGCTTACGAGCATGTCCGGAGTTTGTCCAGGGCTGCACGAATGCTGCACGCCAAGCGACACAGAGCGCAGCTTCTGAGTTGCCGGCCAAAATTGGAGGGGGCTCGCGAGCACAGAGGAGTAGAGATAGAATCGAAAGATGTGGGAGATGCTCGGCATGGGGGGGCCACAATGGCCCGGCCCCTGGCGGCGCGGGGGCCAAGAAGGGAGGAAGCGCATCTCCAGCGCCCCACGACGGGGGCGGGAAGAACGTCGACGCTGCGAGGAGGGCGCAGCAGGCGGGACAGGCAGCCAAGGGACCCGCCACGGCTACGTCGCGGCCCGTGGAGGCCGGCAACCCGTTCCTCGAGGAAGAGGAGCAGAAGGCAGCGCGCGACGCAGCCGGCCAGCAGGCGGCGCGTGGTGGTAGGTCCCCCCGCAGGCCCCACTCCACAGCAGCAGCAGCAGCAGCAGCAGCAGCAGCAGCAGCAGCAGGCCAGGGACGGGCCACCAGCCCCACAGGACCGGGAGCACAGTCGCAGCAGCAGCACCAGCGCACCACCAGCGGCGGCGGCGGCCACGGCGGCAGCGTGGCCAGCAAGGTGGCGACCGTGCTGCCCCCGTCCGGCTCCCTTCCTAACGGGAGCCATGCCGCCTCGCTGTCGTCATCGTCGGGCGGGGCCGCGCTGCCCAAAGGCGGCGGCGTGGCGGCGGTGGATGGTCCTGGATCGGCGTCGGCGTCGGCAGCGGCGGGAGGCGGCTGGCTCTCCAACGCGGCCAGCGGAGGGATCGGCAGCGGGGGAGGCGCGAGCGGTGCCCCGTCCGACGTTCAGTTGGTGGGGTGGCTGGAGAGCCGCCTCCGCGACTACGAAGACCTGCAGCTGCGCCACTGGGCGCTCGAGGCCGAACATCGGTACCCTCCTCTCACACACACGTCGACGTCACACACGACCAACGACACGACCAACGACCCGACCCCACACGACTGACGATCCCATCCATCTCTGTGGTGTGTGGTGTGGGCACCGACGTGCAGGGAGCTGCAGCAGAAGCTCAAGGAGGAGCAGGCGAAGAGCGCACAGCTGACGCGGGAAGTGGGCGAGATGGGGGAGAAGATGACCATGATATTGCAAAACGTGACGAACATGAACAAGACTCAGTAGTGGTAGGCAGTGGTAGCGGCGCCCGCTGGCGTGTTGGTGGCACGCCCATTGTGGGGGGGGGATAGGTCAGGAGGGGGGCAGCTGCTTGGCAAACTTGGTGCCCGTCACGGGGCACACTGTGCGGTCGGCCATGCACTTGTAGTGCACCACCACCCCGTTGGGATATCGCGCGAAGGCCCTGATGTCGTGCGTGTCGTGTCAACGCGTGCGGCCATGACACACAACACATGCGCGTGGTGTTCTATTGTGGGGGGGGGTGCCAGGGGTTGCTTGCGTACGTGTTGCCGAGGCGCTTGTGGCAGAACTGGCACTCGCGGTTTTCGGTGATCTTGATCTGGTGAGCCCGCGCTCGGATGAGCTGCTCCTGCATCTGCACTCATGAACGATGACGACGACGACGACGACGATTATGAGGACAGAGACGAGCGCGGTTGGTAGTGGTGGGTGGGTCGTGTACCAGGATGTTGTCGAGCTTGAGGAGGTGGGCGATGATCTGCTTCTCGCGGCGGGCGTGGGTGCGTTCGGTGAGCATGTTCTTGAAGAAGGGTCCCAGCCTGCTCAGCGGGACGTCCGCCGGCAGTTGCTCCAGCGCCTTGGGGCCGTCGATCTGCCTGCACCGCGCACCCCCACCCCCACCACCGCAGTCAGCCACAGCAGCAGCAGCAGCAGCAGCAGCACGAACACGAACACGAACACGACCAGTGTTCGCGCACGCGACACACGCAAGACAGTATTGGGGGTTTACTTGTAGTATTTGTTGAGGATGGCGAGGGCCTGGTCGAGGAGGGGCTTGGCCTGGCTGTCGCCCGGCGGGAACAGGTAGACCTCGAGCAGGGACAGGTACACGTCTCGGCTCTCCTCACTCTCCTCGCTGTAGTGCTTCCCGCAGTACCTGCCGCACAGTACGCACACACATGCACACACGCACACGAGTGAGCGGGGTCTGCTGGGGTGCAACAGTACGCACTCGAGAGGGAGGCCGCGTACTGTTCGGCCATGACGTAGTTCTTGAGTTTGTAGACGTAGATCTGCAGCGCCTGCTTGTGCCCGTTGACCGTGCGGCTCAAGATGAGTGCTCGCTCCTCGTACAAATCTGGCCACGGCACACGACACACACGGCACACATGAGCCCCAATTGGGGAACGCACGCACACAAAAAAAGAGATGGCGCGTGCGTGCGTGCGTGCGTGCGGGGGGGGGGGGTACCGGTGAAGGGAAAGCGGGCGAGCATTTTCTCGGGATCGTAGGAGGCCGAGAGTTCGAGGAAGCGGATGAGCTTCTTTCGCGTCTGTCCGAGCAGGCCGGGCTCGCTCCCCGCAATCTCGTACGACGCTGCTCCACCCATCCATTCATCCATTCATTAGCGTGGCGGCGGCGGCGGGGCGGCGGCGGGGTTGGGTCAGGGACGTGTGTGTCGTGTCGTGTGTGGTGGCGTACTGGACTTGTAGCTCGGGTCTTGCTTGAGTTTGATGATAGTGTCGAGGTAATTGAACACGAGCTCATTGTGGAACACGGCCTCCTTCTCACCGCGATCCATGAGGAACTCCAGGTACGGGGTCACCAGAGACGCACTCAGGGCCTGCAGGTGCGGCAGGACCTTGTCCGGAGGCAGCATCATCTCCTCGCTCCTCTCCGTGAAGATCTGCGCAACCACACACACACACACACACACAAACGACATACGCGACGCGTGTAAGCTGCTGCAAACTCTAACCATACAACACGCGCAGGGGGGAAACAGTTGTGGTGTGTGCGTGTGTGTGTGTGTGGAGGGGGGCGTACGGAGAGGCCTTCGCGCGGGTGGGTTTGGAGGACCCACTTGGAGAATTCGAGGATGAGGGGCAGCTGCTCTGGCCGCAGCTCGCGCAGGTACCGGATGGTCTCCCATGGGCCGTGCAGCTCGTTGCCCGCCGCCGGACCCTGCCCCACCCTGGCACCCACCACCGGCGCCACACACGGCACACACGCACGGCACACGACACACACGACACACACAGCTCCCGTTCAGTGGCCGCACACGCGGTTGGGGGGGAGGCGGGGGCGGAAGAGGGCGGGGAGGGGGGTACCTGGCAAGGAGCTCGAGGGCCTTGCGGTGCAGGTGCTTGCCCTTGTAGAGTTGCACGAGGTCGGCGAACCGCGTAAAGTCCGTGAGCACCTTATCGCACTCCTGCAGCCGACCACCCACATACCGTGAGCACGCCGTGTGTGTCGCAAGTTGCGCACTAAGGTGTCGCGTGTCGTGTCGTGTTGCGTGTCGTGTCGTGTCGTGTCGTGTCGCCTGTCGCGTGTGTCTTGTGTGGAAGGAAGGTGACCTTGATGTGGCATCGGTTGGGGAGAGATAGCAGGGCCGTGAGGTCGGCGTGCTTGGTTTTGACGTAGGCCTTCACGAGGGCCGTGTCGACGATGGTCGCCAGATCGGTCACGCTGCTGTAGTCCTCCTCGCCCGCCCCCTCGAGGCCTGCGGTCGCACGTGAGTCCCACAAACGAACAAACCCCCGCACGCAGCGCAATGCGAGGTGTGTGCGGTGTGTGCGGTCATGTGCGTGACGTCAACGAACGGCGAGCGTGTGTGTGAGCGTTCGTGCGTACCGGCGGGGGAGTCGGTGGTGGAACCGGAAGCGGGCCGCACTTGGGTGAGGTAGTTGATGAGCGCCAGGAGGGCCTTCTCGAGCCCCGCCCCCACTGCATTCAGCCACCCCCCCCCAATGTTTTGTTACGAAGGGAATCATGATGGTGACGACGATGATGATGATGATAAAGTCCGGGGGGTAGGGGTAGGGGGGTAAGGAGGGTTTGCGTACCGAGCGAGACGACGTCGAACGGGTACTGGAACTTGTCGCGCAGGTTCTTGGGCAGCAGGTTGGGGTACAGACCCAGCACCTATTGTAATAGGGCGGAAGGAGGCCACGCACACACGCACACACGCACACACGCCCGATTTAGCCCCCGAGGCGCGCGTAGGCAGGCGTGAGCGGGCGAGCGGGTGGACAGGCACCTGGAGGGGGTCGGTGTTGAGTTCGGAGAAGAAGCCCATGGCGCGCTCGTACTGGCCCTGGCTGAAGAGGTGATAGGCGAACAGCTCCTTGATCTCCTTCAACTTTTCGGCCTGCGCACACCCATCGCCATCATCACCACCATCACCACCACCGCCGTCATCGTCGTCAGTCTATCATTGAGCATGCGGTGCAGAGAGAGGGAGTAGAAGAGCGGTGGTGGTGGGGGGGGGGCAAGGCACGTGCCTTGAGGGTCTCGTCGAAGTTGGTGAGGCTCTCGCACAGGCTGATGGCGTCCTCGTACTCCTTTTCCCGGATGAGCTGGTCCACCTGCGTGCACCCCCCCCCCACGGGTTAACTCCTTAGGCAACGGCCAACGACCAACACCGCGAGCACGGCACGACCACGGCCGGCACGAGCGGTGAGATGGGGTAGGGTGCGTACCTGGGCGAGGATGGGGACGGGCAGGAGGCGCCAGATGTGGTTGGGGGCGGCCACGTAGATGTCCTTCTTGATCTGCATCAGCTTGGCCCCGCGCAGCGACACCGTTTGCACTGCAGCCCGCCAGGCGCACCACGAACCACATCAGGAAACGGAGGAAGGGTTGGTTGCAGTTGGTTGGTGGCAGAAGGGCGGGCGTGAGGGGGTGGAGGGGAGTACCGAGGGTCTGGGTGCCGAACATGGTCCGCACTTCGAGGAATTTGGGGAGGAGGGCCAGCACGTAGGGGAAGCAGTAGCCCACCGCCGTCGGCATCTCGCTCCAGCTCAGACCGAACTTGCGCGCCGGCCGGCCGTCGTACCCGACCGTGATGCTGATGTCTGCGCGGAACATCACAACGCCGCCACACATGCCACACGCACGCACATACGGCCGTCAGCAGCGGGGGGGGGGCGAATGTTGAAAGAGAGAGTGTGGGGGGGGGGTATTACTGTCGCGGGCCAGGAGGAGCTGCTGGTTGGGGAGCGACGTGATGAGGGGGCTGCTGTTTCGCCCCGTGGGGAACAAGTCCCGCATGGCGCCCGTCCTGTACACCCCCCCCCCCAAAAGTATTATTAGTATTTTAATAGTATTATTTTTTAGTTGGGGGGGGTGGTCACGTGGCGAGTGTGTGTGCACAACGCCTGGAGAGGGGCGAGGGAACGGCACCTGATGTCGATGAGGTTGTACTCCTTCTTGAACCCCACGCACAGGTGTTCGCCGCACCACACCATCGCCTTGGCCGTCTCCGGCACCACGAGTTCCTGGCGCGCGCACACACGCCGCCGCAGCCCACCACCACGTGGTATCGTCAGATGTGGTCGTGGCGCAACATCACAACAGTTCAGGGGGTTGGATTGAGGGCGGTGGGGGGGGGTATGGTGTACGCGTATTTCGTTGAACTGCTTGCCGTCCCACTGGTAGAGGATGAGGCGCTTCTTGATGGCCACGCACAGGCGCAGCGGGGACGAGGTCTTGTCCACGGCGTACACCTCGCACCCGCGGCTCTTGGCCAGCGTGCTGTGATGCCGGAAGCTACCGAGGGCGTGCACCTGCAGCACGTCTGCCGATCATCGAACGTACCGACGCGCGCGAATCCAAACACATCGCACACATCGCACACATCGCACACATCGCACACACAGACAAAAGTGTTTGGTTCAGCGGATGCGCAACAATGAACGGGGGGCGGGTGGAGGAAGGGGAAAGGGCCCTACCGGTGAGGGAGAGCATGAGCTTGAGGTCCTCGAGCACCTCGATGGCGCGGATGGGCTTCTTGCTGAAGGCCTTGTGCGAGTCCACGAGGGACACCAGGAAGGGCGCCTTCCCCGTTTCTGCTCTCGCGGCCACCACGCCACCACGCACGGCCGTGCCATCAGCCATCAGCCATCGGCCATCCTTCGCGCCCACTCCAGCCCAGGAAGCAGGAGCGGGCAGAGAGCCGACGTTGGAAAGTGGCCGTACCATCCACGCCGGGCTTCTCCTTCACCTCGTAGATGAGGAGCACGCCCTCGGCCGTGCCCACGATCAGCCGTTCATCTGCAGGAGCGAGAGCCCCACGTTGGTATTCTCTCCTCAATTTATTTTACTTAATTATTATTATTTATTATTTATTATTATTGTGGGTAGTGGTGAACGGAGGTACCCCAGATGTCCATGCATTCGATGCGCAGGGGCAGCTTCTCCACGAGCGACACCGAATTAAAAGCCGTATGCCCTGCCTTGTGCGTGCACCCCCCCCCCGGCAAAGTAGCACAAAAGCGGCAGGGGTGCCAATCAGCAGAACGTCCCCGTCGGGAGATGAGAAAGTGGGGTCAGGTTCCGCCGTACCATGGTGCTGTTCTCGCCCAAAGCCCCACCACTGTGCAATCGCCCGCTGTTCTCTTTTGTGTGGGCTGCCCTTCTCTTCTTCCTCTTCCTTTTCTTTTCCTTGTCTTTCGATTTTTCAATCTTATTTTGGCAAGGGTGGTGCGAGAGAGGTAGAAAGAAAGGGGGAGTTGTATTGGCAGGTGACCTGATCGCGTGCCCACGCCCACGGTTCTCCGCCAGGCGTGGCCGAAGGTAAACAACAACAACAACAAACCATACAGAACACAACAACGCAAACGGGGCGTTTAGGCGATGGGGTGGCGGGTGGTGGTGTCGTTGGTGAAGACGCGTGTCTCGCCGGTGGGCGTGATGCGGTTCTTGAGGCTGGCGATGGGGCCGAGGTGGGCGCCCTTGGTGCGGGCCACGGCGATCTGCTTGGTGAGGACGCGGTTGAGGCGCTCCATGTAGTCGGCGATGTTGTTCTCCACGGAGCGCTCGATGTTGTGGCGGATCTTGCCCGAGAGGACCTTGGTGATGGCGTTGTAGAGGGCGTCGTGGCGGGTCTCGTAGAGGTGGAGCTTCATGTTGTGGACGGAGCAGATGACGCGGTCCACCTCGAGCACCTTGTCCGAGTGGGAGAAGGTGCGGACGATGAGCTTGAGGTCGACGCCGGAGCCGCCCACGCTGATGCGGATCTTGCCCTCGTCCTCCACCTTGGGGAACTTGTTGCGGCGGAACCAGATGTCGGCGTCCTCGATGAAGATGTTGACGTTCTTGACCTCGAACACCACCTCCTCGCCGCCGAACGAGGTGTCGATGCCCTGCTTGAGGTGGCCCAGGTCGAGGGCCAGGCGGCCGCTGTGGGTCATGACCACGCTCTCGGGCACCAGGTCGCGCAGGGTGACCACGACGTTGCTCAGGCGCAGCTGCATGTCCGGGTTGTTGACGGTGATGGCCGGTACCGGGATGCGCACGCGCTCGATGAGGGACTGGAGGATGATGAGGCGCAGCTGCTCGAGGGCCTGCGTCTTGAGCACCACGTTGCCCTGGTCGTCGAGCATGATGTCGGCCAGCAGGGCCTTGGCGTCGTTCTTGAGCCGCAGCGTGGCCGGGTCGCGCTCCACGTTGCGCAGGATGGCGCGGGCCTCGTGGAAGGAGCCCGTGAGGTGCTCGCGGAGCTTCTCGTCGTGGAGCTGCTGCGCCCAGCGGATGTGCTCCTTCATCTCCTCCAGCGTCTGGCGCTCGCTCAGGCGCTCCGGGTGGTCCAGCAGGCCGGCGAAGAAGTGCCGCAGCGAGTGGAAGTAGCGCCGGGCCTCGTCGTCGCGGCGGAACGTGAGCGTGATGGCGCGCCAGTGCCCGATGAGCGGGTCCAGCGTGCGGTCGCCCGTGAAGGTCTCGAAGATCTCCTGCGCCAGCGCCAGCGTGCGCTTCAGGTGCTCGCTGTCGGCCATGCTCCGCAGCCCGCCCGTCACCTGCCCGCGCTGCTCGCGGTCGATCTCCTCGTCGAACAGCCGGAAGATGTCCAGCACCCGACGCAGCAGCTCCGCCGTCGCCGGCCGGCGCGTGATGTCGCGCAGCAGCTCCGTGAACCGCTCGGCCAGCTGGCTGGTCTGCTCCTGGCTGAGCCGCACCCGCCGCCCGCCGATGCTGAGGCCCTCCTCGAGCCGCTTGCCCAGCCCGCTCACTGAAGACGAAGAGGCGGCGCTGCCCTCGTGGCGGTGGTGGCCCTCGCCCACGGGGATCTCGAACTCGCCGGCGCTGCCGGTCGGGTAGGCCTGGGCCGGGGCCTGGGCGGCGTAGCTGGTGGCGTGCGGGAAGGCCTCGGGGGCCTTGCGGTGGCGCTGGCCATAGTCGTAGCTACGGTCGCTCTCGTCGTAGCGCTCGCCGACGTCGGACGCGTCAGAGTCGCTGCTGCTGATGCGCTCGCCGGAGACGGCCTCGGAGAGGAGGTTGATGAGGGAGCGGATCTGGGCGCGGAACTTGCGGGAGCGGACGACCTCGAGGCCGGCCATGCGCGCGGTCTGGAGGGTCTCGCGGGCGAGCGAGCGGAGGCGGTCCGAGTCGAAGCCGTCGACGACGTCCCACGAGTCGCGGGCCTCGCGGGCCTGGAGAGAGAGGTCGCGGCGGGCGAGGAGGCCCTCCTGGGCGAGGCGCTGGAGCTTGCCGCCCTCGTTCTTCTCGCGCATGAACTGCGTGGCCGAGTCCACGAGCCGCTCGGTGTCGGTCAGGATGCGCTCGCCCAGCGGGTTGAGGCCCTCGGTCTCGTGCTTGGCGATGTTGACCTGCTCCCGCACCCGCTCCAGCGTGTGCTCGATCTGCACGTTGCTGGGCAGCTTGTCCACCACCTTGTTGTTGGTCGGCACCCCCATGCCCATGCCCATGCCCATGCCGGGTGCGTAGGCGGTGGTGCCGGGCGTGTAGACGGTGGTGCCGGGCGTGTAGGCGGTGGGGCTGGCCAGCAGGCCGGTGCCGGCCATGACGACGGGCGGCGCGCCCGTGGTGGTGATCACGGCGGGCTGGCCCATCATGACGCCCGTCGTTGGCATGACGGTCGGGTTCGAGTAGGCGTCGGTGTACACGCCGGCGGGCGCGTAGGTGGTGCTGGTGGTGGTGTTGGTGGTGGGGTAGTTGCTCATGGTGTGCAAGTGGCTAAGATAAGATAAGGGTCGTGATGTAGATTAGATGATATGAGTGGTGGTGGTGGTGGGGTGGATGGAATGACTTAGGTGTGGTGGTGTGTAAGCTGTTGTGGTAGTATGACTTGCCGAACTGAGTTTGGCCTCTTTATGTGGACCAGCTGGGTAGGTGAGGTGTACGCCCCGCCGGGTTCCGGCAGTGGTGGTGCCGAAAGCGGACGAAAACCCACCGTATGGACACACCCTCAACTGGCCTGCCCTTTCTTCGGGAACCCAAGCAAAGAAAGGTGGTCCGCAGCCTCCATCTTCCACAGAACCAACACTGCAGGTTCTTTAGCATTTTCTCTTCCTCTCTTTTATTTTCTTTGCTTTTCTTGCATTTAAGGCGACAATCTTGGTGCCGGGCTTTTTGCCGGAGCCAAATTGCCCGTTGGGAGACCGGTCTTTGGCGTGCACAATAATTAGCTGGTGTTGCCCTCCGTTCTTCTTCAAGCCCCTTTTCTCCTCCGGTTGGGGTGGAAAAATAACAAATAAAAATAACTCTCTGTCACGTAGCACGGAGAGGAAAGAGGAGAGAGAGAGCTGAGCTTAGCAGCCCCCTCGAGGAGATAACCGAACCCTGGGCCAGTCGAGCAGCAGCTAGCTTGGAATGGAGACTTTCAACAGGTGCCCACCCCACCTCAATATGGGCGCTAGCCGTCCTCCCCCATAGGCTACGTGCGGGGTCTTCCTACATACGTGCATCAGCAGCACATTAGGGAGACCTAGTGGCTGCCCGGGCGGCAGGGAATTACATGCATCCCCACAGGCAATGACGATGCGACCGTTAATTTGGTTTCCTGCCATCATTTTGGGGGGTGGGGGGTGATGCACATCACAGACTTCTATGGAAGAAGTCTACCGATACCGCGCCCACGCGCAGCCCCGCGAGTCTGGCTTCCGCGCCTGGGAGCAGCCAAGGCCGCCTCTTTTCCTCCTCCAACGCCACCCCCACGTACATAACCCCCCAGCCATTTATTTATTGCGGGAGCACTTTTATTTTGTTTTTGCCCACTCGGCTCGAGCCCTGCTGGGCCAGCCAAACGGCTGCCGACAGCTTGCTTGGCCCTGCCTACTTATTATATATTAATATGTAATGGGCACATACACACACCACACAGGGCTGCGGGACGGGACTCCATGGTGATGGACGGCTCCAAGGGACCCTCTCCTCGCGGGAGGCTCGCGCTCGCCCCCAAGAGCGAAGCGATGGCCCATTCGCTGTTTGAGCTCTCCAAGCGCAAAGAGGTCTGTACAGCCAACCCCCCTCCCCCCTACACCACCACTAACCCCACCGCCAAATTGCACTTTTGCTTTGTTGCTTTTATTCATTTACTTTTCTTAGTCTTAAAAAAGACCTCCCCCCTCCCACCACCCGTTGCAAACCCACGTGCGGTGAGGCTGACGTGTGCCGTTTTTTTTTCCGTATGCCGTGCGCGTACTCGCCAGTTGTGGGTTCCCGACGAGCATACGAACGAGTGCTCGAGCTGCCAGGAGCGCTTCTCGACGGTCAAGCGCAGGCACCACTGCCGCGTGTGCGGACGCATTTTCTGCAAGAAGTGCTCCCGGGGCGTGATCGAGCTGCCGGTGATCAAGCTGCGCTGCTGCATGTCGTGCATGCACTACCTCGAAGTCACCCCCGAGCAGGAGATCCTCCAGCTCGTCCACACCAGGCACGCCTCCGCCTATTCTCTCCAAAAAGCCAGGGCTTATGTGTCCTCCGCGCTGGTGTTGGTTCTAACCCCAAGCCCCCCCCCAACCTGGTGCTGCCCCATCGATCAGGCTGGCCGAGGCGGCCCGCGGAGGAGTCAAGGCGCCCGTCGGCGACTCGATGACCGTCTCCAGCGACAGCGATGGCGAAACAGAGAGCGACCCGTCGTTCACGCCCTCCAGCTCGGTGGAGTCGACGCACGGGTTCGAGGTGGCCGAGCAGGCCGACGACATGGTGACGGAGAGGGAGGAGCCTGCGCTCAAGGGCCGCACCAGCTCCCTCAACGCGCAGCTGTTCGTCAGCTACGTCGAGGCCCGCAACCTCGACCTCAAGCAAGGTACGAACGCCCCCAGTGCCCCGCTGGTTGCATCCATCCCCCCACTCACCCACCGACCCACCTCCGGCGGTTGCCATCCGATGGCAGATTGCGTGGGCATCTACTCGGTGCTCTCCCTGGGCAAGCAGCAGGTCCGGACCGTCGACACTAAGTCTGCCGGCCTCTCTCGCTCGGCCCAGTGGAGCGAAGGGTTCTACTTGTACGTCTCGTCTTGGCTTGTGTGCGCAGCTGCCGCGTCTTTTGTTTCCCCCCTCGCCCCCGAGGAAGCGCACTTCAATTCGCCTCACCACCGCCGCCGCCGCCCGTGGGTGGCATGTGACGCAGTGATGTGACGGACTCAGCCAGCATCTTCATCATCTCTGTGTGGGCTCAGCACCAGTCCAACGGGATGGAGTCCACCTTCCTCGGTACTACCACACACACACACACACACACACACACACACACACACACACACACACACACACACACACGGGAGTGTACCGACCGACCGCTTGGGCGTGCGGCTCACATTGGTTGGTGGTGGTGGCTGGTGGCATTGGTTGCAGGTCAATTCAACATTCCGGTCTCGGCCTTCGTCAAGAACCCCATGGTCGACCGGGAGTTCAGCCTGCTGTCGAAGAAGGGCACCCCCATCCGCTCCACCGTCCACATCAAGATCCAGTACACCACCATCAAGGTTCATCCACAGCCCCTCCCCCCTCCTCCCGCCTCGACCTTGCCGCGCTCACGCACCACTCACATTCCTCCGCTTCCGTTACCCCCCCCCCATAATAATAATAATAATAATAAATGCAGCAAAAAGTCACGCCGGACGACTTCCAGCTGCTGCAAGTGGTGGGCCGCGGCAACTTCGGCAAGGTCATGCAGGTGCGGAAGAAGGACACGGGCCGCATCTACGCCATGAAGGTCCTCCGCAAGGGTACGCACCCGACTCTCCACTTCCCACCCACCCACCACGCACCACCCACCACCGGGGCAGCCGCACTCATTCACGCGCGTTCCCGCACACGTTTGTTTGTTTGTTTGTTTGTTTGTACAGACGCGGTGGTGCAGAACGATGCCGTGGAGCACACGATTTCGGAAAAGAACGTGCTGAAGCGGATCTCGCACCCGTTCATCGTGTCGCTCAAGTACTCGTTCCAGACGGCCGACAAGCTCTACCTGGTGCTGGACTACCTGTGCGGCGGCGAGCTCTTCACCCACCTCTCGTCGGTGGACCACTTCACCGAGGAGCGGACGCGCTTCTACGCCGCCCAGATCGTGCTCGCCCTCGGCCACCTCCACGAGAACGGCGTCATCTACCGCGACCTCAAGCCCGAAAACCTCATGCTCGACATGGACGGTGCGCGCACCCCTCCCACCCCCATATATACGCCTTTTATTGCCCCCCCCCTTTCCAATCTTATCTTACGCGTTCGTGGTGGTGCACATGTGGTGTGGTGCATGTGGGGGGGGGCGCAGGGTACCTGTGCCTCACGGACTTTGGCCTGTGCAAGGAGGGCCTGGCCCCGGGCCAGAAGACCCGCACCTTCTGCGGGTCGCCCGAGTACCTCGCCCCCGAGATCCTCAAGGGTATACCCTAGCCCCTCCCACTCCTTTCCTTTCCAGACAATCGTCTAACGGCGACGATTGGGTGGTGGCTGGTGGTGGCTGGTGGTGGCTGGTGGTGGTGCGGGTGCAGGCAAGCCCTACGACAAGGCGGTGGACTGGTGGGCTCTGGGCACCTTCATCTACGAAATGCTCAGCGGATGGCCTCCCTATTTCGACGAGGTTCGTTGTCAGCCCCCCCCCCAATTCTCTCTCTCTGCTTGCAGCGGTTGGCTGCTTCTTCGCCTTCTAACCGATCCCTTCCCCCTCCCCCTCTAAACCACCACCGCCAGGACCCCAAGAGGATGAACAAGATGATCCTGCTGGAGCCCCTCACCTTTGAGCCTTCGCTGTTCCCTCCGCACGCCCAGTCCCTCATCGCGGGCCTCCTCAACAGGTACGCGCGCCCCATTACATATATGTGTGGTCCTCCATTGCTGTGTGCTTCCTTCCGTGTGGGGTGGTGTGTGCGCGCCAACCGTGGTTCGTTTTTGTTGGCTCGCAGGGATCCGGAGAAGCGCCTGGGGAGCGGGCAATACGGCACGCAGAACATCAAGAACCACCCGTTCTTCGCCAAGGTCAACTGGGACAAGCTCTACAAGCGCCAGATCGAGCCCCCCTACAAGCCCCACCTCGTACGCCTGCTTGCCCCCCCTCCCCTCTTCATTCAAAGGCCCACGCGTAATCTTGGTTGGTTGGTTGGTTGCAATGGTGCTGCAGCGCAACATCACGGACACGCGCTTCTTCAGCGAGGAGTTCACGGGTGAGCCGGTGAAGGACTCCTACGTTGACTCGCACATCTCCAAGACCTACCAGGTACCCCCCACCCCCGCCCCCCGTCGTGAGCTGACTCTCCCGCACGAGACGTACGGGTGGGTGGTAAGTACCGGTGGGCCTCACCGGTGGCTGCTCCTGCTCTGCCATTGCCCCCGCAGGATGCGTTCGTGGGGTTCTCATGGCAAAACGCGTCCGAGTACCTCGACAACTACCCCAAGAACCTGCCCGAATACGCCATCAAGAGGAGGACACGACGGTACACCCCTCCCCACATACCTCCCTACATACCTCTAGCCATCCCTCCCTCTAGCCATCCATTTCCCATAGATATTTTTTTATATATATTATTTATGTGAGACTGTTAACCAATTTCCATACATGGTGCGCGCGCTCAGACCTTCGCGTCCGCAGCCCTTCGAGAAGGACTCCCTCGGGCAGAGCGGGGGCATGGTACGCCCGCCTACTCACTCACTCGCTCTCTCGATCCATTATGGGCTCCTCTCCTCCTCTCCTGCTGGCCCGCTTCTGACACGCGCCCCTCCACCGATCTCTCTCTCTCTCTCTCTCTCTGTGTTGTGTGTGCACTCGTGCGTTGGTGTATCCTATACGTACGGTATGGCACGGTATGGTGTCCTTGTTCTATATTAGGACCGGGGTACGCCCAGCCCGCGCCAGTTCTCGCCCCTGTCGAGCGTGAACGAGAACGAGGTCGACCTGGATTGGGACTCGCCGCCCGAGATGGGAAGCAGCTTCCCCTCCCACAACAGCCCCTCCTTCACGTGAGGCTCTCGACTCACACGCAGCCACCAACCACGTACGCCAGCCCCCCCCCAAACCGCCACCTCCAATGGCACACCAGCCACCCGCCGCCACTAATCCACGCCGCCACCAATAGCAGGGCGCGAGTACGAGAGAGCAAGAGACCCCAAGGAGGAGGAGAAGTACGAACACAACGAATGTACATAACGGGCTACCTCACACTACCACCATTACCCACCACCACCCACGCTGCGCACCAGCCGTTACCTCCCCCGCTGTACAACCTACGACCTACCCCCCATCAGCAGCACCCCTCTTTCCTTTTTCTTCCCTTCCGCACCACCACCACCACCACCACCAACAGCAGCAGCCGCATGCCGCCCCGCCCCAGCAACGAATGCAACGATTTTGTATTTTGAACGATCATCCCCCCCCCCCGCACGTGGGCCACAACAACGCGTTGCTGACAATCTTCTTGATGCCCACGCGAAACAAAAAAAGAAAAGGAAAAGAAAAGAAAAGAAAAGAAGGCCAACAAACGACAAGGCAGCAGGGGTGCGTGATGCGTGGGACACGTGCTGCTGCTGCTGCTGGTGGTGGTGCTGGGCGGGGCGCGGCGGGGAAGGGACAAGCGCCTCCTCCTGAGCGGCGTCGGGAGGAAGGGATGACAATGCTGGGGCGGTGGTGGTGGCTCGTGGTGGGCGTGTATCGGGTGGCCAACGCGCTGGCGCTGGGCACGGCCTTCGTGCCCGACGAGTACTGGCAGGCGCTCGAGGTGGCCCACTACGCCGTCTTTGGGTAGACGCACAGCTGCCCCACCCCCCAAACGGTGGTGGTCCATGTCTGATGGGTGCGGCGTGGGTGGGTGGACTCGTGTGTGTGGTGGTGGTGGGGTGGCAGGTATGGTCACCTGACGTGGGAGTGGGAGCACCGGCTGCGGGGCTTCCTGCACCCGGGCCTCTTCGCCGCCGTGTTCGCCCTCCTGCGGCTCTTCCACGCCGACTCTCCCCTCGCCATCGTACGACTGCGCACCCCATCCTCCATCCTCCCCAGCCCAAGGCATTCCATCCATTATGCCACCGCTACTGCTGCCGCTGCCGCGACTGCTGCTGCACCCCTACCGCGGCCATGGTAGGCCCGGTGGTGGCGTGGTGGTTCTGACGTGGTGGGTGCGTGTGCGCTTGTGTGCATGTGCTCACCCCCCCCCCCGACGGCAGATCGTGGGGCCGCGCGTGTTGCAGGGCCTCATGCAGGCGGTGGGCGATTGGGGCGCCTACGCGCTCGCCCGCTCCTTCTTCGGACCGCGAACTGCCGCCTGGGCTGTACGCACCCCGGCATACCCCTCCTCCCCCAAATGCTGCCCTGGGACCGCGTCCGCATCTCACGTCGCCCTCTTCTCCGTGCGTGCGTGGGTGCGTGGGTGCATTGGGGGGGGGGTGGACGCGCGTAGCTCGCGTGCCAGCTCCTGTCCTGGTTCACCTTCTATTGCGGGGTACACGGCCTGGTGGTGGCTGGTGGCGGCTGGTTGGTGGGGAAGACGCTGGAGACGCGGCCCATGATGCCCATGACGATGCGAAGACGAAAAACTGGACTCCTCCGATGGCTGCTGCTCGTGCTCATGCTCGTGCTCATGCTCGTGTATCGTGTATCGTGGTTGCACCGCGGCGGCGGCGTGGCGGCGGCGGCGGCGGGTGGTGGGTTCTGGCGTGTGGTAGGGTCGCACGCTTTCCAACTCGCTCGAGACGGTGCTGGTGACCCTGGTCCTGGTCTACTGGCCGTGGGACGCACACGCACACCTCACCGACTCTCAGCGCTGGCGCCGGTACCTGCGCGGCCTTCCCTCTCTCTCGCCTCGTCATCCCCCCGCCGCGCACCCACCAACACCATCTCTCTCTCTCTCTCTCGTGTTCTCTCGTGGTCGTTGGTCGTGCGTGTGCTGGCCGCGTGGGGCAGGAGGCTGGCCCTGGCCATCGGGGTGGTGGCGTTTGCCGTGCGTCCCACGAGCGCGGTGGTGCTGGCCTACGTGGGCCTGCGCGCCCTCTGGTTCTCACCCTCCTTCTCCGAACGCCTTCGCCTGGTCTTCTGCGAGGTCCTCCCCATCGGGTACCCTGTCTCTCTATCTATCGATCTATCCACCTCTCCACCCATTACAACGTCAACGTCGCAGCCGTCGTTGCCGTAGCCCGCTTTGCCCGCCACCGCCACCTGGCCTGACACGAATGACGGCGCGCGCGGTGGTGGTTGGTGGTGGCTGGTGGGCAGGGTGGTGGGCGTGGCGTGTTCGTGCGGGGTGGACTACCTCTTCTACGGGGAGCTCACGTTCGTGCCGTGGAACTTTGTCAAGTTCAACGTGGCCCACAACATATCGGCCTTCTACGGCACCCACCCGTTCCACTGGTACTTCACACAAGGTAGCGACTTCCCTCCCCTCTCGCCTTGGCCGCGGTATTCCGACGACGCGTTGTAGCGGAATGCCTCACCACGGCATTGTGTGTGTGTGTGTGTGTGTGTGTGTGCGTGCGTGTTGTGTGTGTTGTGTGTTGGTGGCGGTGGCGGCGGCGGTGTGCAGGGTTGCCCACCATCCTGGGTAGCTTCGTGCCGGTGTTTGTCCTGGGCGTGGCCGTTGCGGCGCGGCGCGAGCTGTTCTACCTCCTCTGTTGGACTGTCTTCGTCTACAGCCTGCTCGGCCACAAGGAGTTCCGGTGCGCACGCCCTCTCTCTCTCCCCGCCCACCCGTCCCAGTGAATGGGGATGCCTGCTGGCGCTCTATCGCGGATGCTTCTTCTCGCCAACGCCCGCCCTCCCGCACTCTCTCTCTCTCTCTCTGATACTTCTTCTCCGTGCATCACCACCGTGACGATGGTGTGGTGGTGGTGGTGGCGGCGGCGGCGTGCAGGTTCATATTTCCGATCCTGCCAATCGCCCACGCCTACGCGGGCCACTTCCTGGACTGGGCCTACCGCCGCTGCTGCGTGACCTCCTCCGCCAGCGCCGAGGTGGCGAGCGCTCCTGACTCTCGGGAGAGGGCGGCGGCTCCCACGACGCAAGGGGACCGCAAGAAGAGGCGGGACCACGACGGCGGTGGAGCGGTCCACGCCTCGGTGAGGAAGAGGCGGCAGCGCGTGTGGTCGTTGTTGTTCGGGGCCGGGTGCGTGGTGCTGCTCCTTACGCACGCGGGGATGGCGTACTACTTCTCGTTCTGGCACCAGCGCAGCCCCATCGACGTCATGCACCACCTCCGCCACGAAACCCAACGACTCAACGGAGGTGCCTCCCCCCTCCCCTCATTGCCCGCTTTTTCGAGCCACGTGGGTGGTGCTGATGCAAGCGTGGGCGGCCGCATTTGACACTTCGATCTTATACATATACATATACATATACATATACATATACATATACATATACATATATATATACATATTTATATATATACATAAACAGAGCTGGAGGTGTTCTTCCTGATGCCGTGCCACTCCACGCCCTTCTACGCCTACATCCACGCGCCCATCGCCATGGACTTTATCAAGTGCCTGCCCCCGATCACCTACGACGGGTATTTTTCCCCCTTCTCTGCTCCCCGCATTTCAAATTGTGGGGCGTGTGTGTGTGTGTGTTGCGCGTGTGCGGTTACGCGTCATATGAATCGTTTCTGTGATGGCGACCTTTAGGAACCGTACGTACGCGGACGAGACCAGGCGGTTCTACAGCGATCCGCCAGGGTTCCTCGCGGCGCGGTTCGAGGAGCGCGGCGGCCGGTACCCCTCCCACATGGTCCTGTTCGAGCCGCTACTGCCCCACGTGGCGCCCTTCCTCGCCCGGCACGGCTACCACCAGGCATGATACCACCGCCTGCCCTCCCCTCCCCTCCCCCCCCGCAAACGAGAGCCCAGAAAGAGGAATGCTCACCCCCCGGGGCCTTTCCTTCTTTCAATTGTAGGTGGCCCGGTTTTGGCATACGCTGCTGGTCGTGGACGACCGCCAGGGCGACGCCCTCGTCTTCCGCCGCGACAAGGAGGAGGCGGCGGCGGCGTGAGCAATGCGACCACCGCCAATGAATGGCTGTACTTATTTGTTTTTATTTTATTTTATTTTATTTATTGCTCTACTTGGCGGTGCGTGCGCTGGCCTGCGCATCCTCCGCGGGGAAGAGGGTGCCCTTCAGCATGCCCGGCACGAGCTCCTCCTGTACGCTGGGGCTGGCCAGCAGCGCCTCTACGAGCTTGGCCAGCTGGGTGGCGTCCTTGATGGGCGCCAGGGCCTGGGCCAGCAGGTCGTGCAGGAGACTGCCAGCGAGGCCGTTGTGGAGCTGCTCGAGGCTGGCCTTGATCGTGTCTTGGATGGCCGCCTCGATCTCTTGCCGCCACCGGCCGGCAAACGTGGTGAGGATGGCGTTGTACAGCGCACTGCGCGCGCACAAAGGCCACCGGTCAGCGACGTGTGCGAAAAGGTGGTGAGGGGGTCGTCGTACTCGTGCTTGGTGCCGCTGATGAAGAGGTCGAGGTTGTTGACGCGACAGCTGACCCGCTCAATCTCAAACAAGGTGTCCGCGCTGATGTGGGTACTGGACCAAATTGGACGAGTAAGGCCACTAGTTTACCCCCCCCCGCAGCTCATCGTGGTGGTGGTGGGTGGTGGGGCGTCCGTACCGCAGGGTGATGAAGAGATCCATGCCGTCGCCGCCCATCAAGACCGACAGCTTGCCGGCTTCCGCCACGGAGAGGTCAGGGAGCGGAAGGAAGGAGAGCGGCCACTTGAGCGCAGACGGCAGCAGTTGCAGCACGCCCCCGCTCTTGAAGGTGACCAGCGCGTTGTGCATGTCCACGTTGATCCCGCGCCTGCGTTTGGAACGTATGCATCACCACACCACAGCACGGCCGACGCACCCTTCAGCACGCAAGGAAGGACCCCTCGGGTGGTAGAAAAAAAGGGGGGGGGCACCATACAGCGAAAGTCGAATCCCATTGGCCGTGGCCTTCACCTTAGGCTGGCGCAGGTCAGACAGCCCTACCAGCATCTTGCCTCGGTCCTGCGCTCCCGGGAACACACGACACGACCAACGACAAACGGCACGACACACGACACGATCCCCATTTAGCACCACGTCGCGACATAAAAAAAAGACTGTCTCCTGCGGGTCGGGTGCATCATGGATGAGGTGGTGGGTGGCGACGGTGGTGTACCTCGATGAGGAGCTCGCGGGGCACGAGGTGGCGGGCGGCGATCCGGCCCCGCATGACGCGCGCCTCGAACAGATCGCCCTGGAGGAGGATGTCGGGCAGCGGCACCTGCCACCTCTCGCGCACCCCGTGGGCGATGATGGTGTGCAACCTGCGTCGGACGCAACACACACACACACACACACCACAACAACAACAACAATTATGAGTTGGTCAAGCCCAGCCCATCTCGCGTACGAGTGCGAGTGTGTGTGTGTGTGTGTGTGTGTGTGTGTGTGTGTGTAACACCAGAGGGAGAGAGGGCGTGGAAGGGAGTGGGCGTACTGGCTCCACATGTGGGGTTTGATGGCGAAGCGACCGGTTGGGCTGAGGGCGAGATCGCGGGCGAGGAGGGCCACGCTGTCCTTGAGCTCCCGCAGGGAGGTCTCCGCCGCGAGGCTGCCGGCCAGGAGGGACATCTCCGCCACGAGGCCCGTCAGGCGCCCCTTGAGCACCGTATCGTTGACCTCGCGCAGCCGCTTCAGCAGGTGCAGACCCTTGGCTGCAGCCACCGCCACCACAGCGCAGAGAGCGACGAACCATCAGCACACGCGCACGCATACGCAGAAGAACGGAGATGCTGATGACGATGATGCTGATGATGATGGGCGGGGTACCGCGGTAGGCGTCCTGGGAGAGCAGATCGGGGTGGGCGAGGACCTTGGCGAGGTAGTCGCCGGCGCTGGCAAAGAACTCGAGGGCCTGCTTGTGCCCGAGGGTGAGCTCGTAGAGCTCGACGAGCCGGTAGACCAGGGAGTCGAGGGTGCGCCCGCCCAGGAAGCTTTCCAGCAGGCCCTTGGCGCTGCGGAGGGCCTTGGCCAGGTGCTCGTTGCGCAGCACCTGCTCCAGGCTCGACGCCCCGCTCTCCAGCGAGGGAGCCACGCCCCACAACTGACGCAGCAGCGCCATCTCGTCGGACAGCTGCACTCCCCCCGACACACGACCCCCCCCCGTTTACATGAATAGATAGAGGAATAGATGGATTAGGGCACCACGACCATTTCCATACCGCCACCCAACACATACACGCACAGCTGCACACGGCACAGCTGCACACGGCAGGTGGGAGGTGGGGTGCGAGCGTGTCGTACGATCTTCTTGGAGGATTCGTTCTGGGCGAGAGCGTTGAAGGCGCACACGAAGCGCCGGTAGAAGTCATCCAGCTGCTCGTCGCTCAGCCGCCGGTCTCGCGGCTGGAGGTCCTCCGCGGCGGGCTGGTCCAGGCCCATGGCTGCCGAGAGGGAGGAGGAGTGGGGAGTGGTGAGGAGTGGTGCGGGCGGGGTAAAAGTGTGGTGCGCGGTGTGATGCATAGGCCCGAACGGGGCCACGGAGAATGTGGGAATGTGGGATGCGTACGGGGCACGGAGGGCACAGTGTGGGTGCCCGGGTAGATGGCGAGGGGCCGGTCGGCGGCGGTGGGAAGCACCTCGGGCAGGTCGGCGGAGGGGCCGGCGAGGGCGTTGGTGGAGGGCGGCACCACCTTGCCCTTGGTCATCTGCGAGATGGAGGGCAGCGCCGCCTCCTCGTCGCTCGTCTTCCTCGCCCGGTGCGGGACGGCGGCAGCGGCGGCGGGGTGGTGGTGGAGCGGGTACTGGTCGGCCTGCGAAGGTGGGCCGCCCTCGGCCTCCATGGCGGCCACGGCCTGGCGGTAGGCCTCGGCGCGGTGTGGTACGGCGGCTTCGAGAGTCGGGGCGACCGCCTCGGCCTGCTGTCCGGCCTCGAACAGATCGCCGACTACCTGCAGTAGGGCTGCCACGTCCCCCGCGAACCGGCCCTGCGTGACGGCCTCGCCCACTTGACACGCACATACGCGTTTAACACGACGACGTGTTGCAGAGGAGATCACGCCACGCCACGTCCATCAGTACTAACAACAACCACCAACACCAACCAACAACAACCAAAACAACCAATAACCAACAACAACCACCAACACCAACACCAACACCAACAACCACCAACAACCGGTGGGCAGGCGAGCGCGGGGCATACCGAGGTCGCGTGCGAGGAGGGCGGCGGCGCGGGAGAGGTCGTGGAGGCGGGCGAGGTGCGGGTCAGGGCTGAGGCGGAAGGGGGCGTGTGCGGCCTGCTCGCGGAGGTCGTGGCGCAGCAGGAGGGCCTCGCGAAGGGCCGTCTGGAGGTGGTCCTCGGGATTCTTCTCGCGCTGCAGCCGGGCCAGCTGCTCCACGGCTCGCTGGGCGTCGACGAGCAGCCGGCGGCCCACTTCGTCCACGTGGGCGGCTTTTTCCGCGGCGCGCAGCTCGCTGGCGAGCCATTGGAGGCCCTCCTCGACGCGCTCGTTGGTGGGCAGACCCTCGGCCCACTCCACCCACGGGTCCTTCTGGATGGCGGCAGTGTCTCGGCGGTCGTACTTGCCCCCCGCGATGTGTGTGTCGTTGCTGCTGCTGCTGCCATTGTTGTTGTTGCCACCTTTGGTGGTTGGTGATGCTGGTGGCGCAGGGTGGATGGGTGGATGGGGCGTAGTTGCGTGTTCTCTTGGCAAGTGTTGGAGAGGCTGCTGGTTGGTGGGGGTGCGTGCGTGCGTGCGTGAGTGTGGCTGGTGCGCTAGTCTTGTGCGTCTGCTGCAGGAAGTGGAGGCCTTGAGTGTGTATTGTTGGGGGACCCAAGTGAGTAACATGCCGGCAGATTTTCCTTGGCTTTTCGGCATGGCGCAGGACGGGGAAGTACCTTTACCCCAGCAGTCTTGGTCTTGGGCCTCTGGGCTGGGCCAGCCAATAATAATATAAATAAATAAACGAATAATAAAACACACCCACCATCACCATATCACCATATCACCATCATCAAGGGAAGGCGTATCCCGCATTGGTCCCTCTGCGAGCAGTGGGGAGACACATGCGCTTATGCGTGCATGCATGCACGCACGGACTAAGTGGGCGGGTGGATCAAGAAGGGGGCACTACTTTTCTGCACTCGCTGGCGCCGTACTTGTCCACAAAGGCTACAAAACTGGTACCGCCCCCGCCCATGCGCACTGCACCACGCACACCCACCCACCACGCCGCCATGGACCAATAGAAGAGGACGAGGATGTGAGCAATGCCCCCCGGGGGGGGGCTCCAATGAATAATGGAAATATGGGGATATGGGTGGAGCATTTGGGAGGAGAGCATGTACCCATGAGCCGATTGCCACCCTGCACCTCGAGACGAATCTTCTTCGTCCCGAACTGATACTGGCCCGCCCCGATTCTTTGAACGGCCCACCGCGCAAACACACACACACACCCAATCCACGAGCGGAAGCTGGCGTTGAGAAGTACTATCATTTGTGCATGGGGGGAGGGGGGCAGCTGTACCGCTGGAAGTTGCGCGGGATGTCGAGCAGAGTCTTGCAAAAGCCTGGACCACGCGTGCATACGCGATGGCGGCGCCGTGGGATAAGTGTGGGAGGAGGGGGCGGAAGGGAGAGAAGGGCGGTGAGCACTCAAGGCCGGACTGGGCGACGCGCACGATAACCCCCGCGAAAGAGGCGGGTGAGGCTCCGTTACCCATTTCCCGGATCACGCGCGCCAGCTCTACGTCGATGGCATCGCCCTGCGTCGCCCCACCACCACCAGCCACCACCAGCCACCACCAGCCACCACATGCACAGGAGAGGAGAGTGATCGCCACCGAGTAAGTGACCTGTGCCGCGCAGGCCGGACGTCGTTGATTGGGAGTGGCAGGTGGAGGTGTGGTCACCTTGGTCGGGCGGTAGGAGTAGAAGGACGCGGCTTCCGCCGCCGCACCGCCAGGAGAGGAGGAGGGCGACAGGGACCCGAGGGAGAGCACCCGCCGGAGGGGCGGCCTGGCTGCTGCTGCTCGGCTCGCCCCCTCGGGTGCCGCGGTGGGCGAGTCGGGGTGCCAGAGAGCAGCCTGCCACTCGGGCCGGACGAGGAGGTCACGCACGAGGTCGCACTCATCGTCGTCCTCCTCCACGAAGCGCCGCCGCTCCTCGCGCTCCCGCAGCACGTGGCTCATGGGGTTGTCCTCCTGGAGCGGACCACCATTACCGGCGCCGGTGCCGGTGCCGCCCGCGCTCTCGTCGCCCTCCAGCGTGCGGGTGCTTGCGCGCAGGCTCGCGGTGCCCTCAGTGGTGGTGCCTCGCGGGACCGGCGACTGGTCGCTCCTCTCCGTGTCGATCGGCGCGCTGTCCTGCTCGCCACCCGCCGGGGACGAGCCCCTTCCAAGTGTCGCGCGCGCCTTGACTTGCGTTGCGCGCGCCGTCGTCGTCTTATTGGCGGACGGGGCGGGGCGGCGCGGCACTGGTCGCTGCTCCTTGTGCTCCGAGGTCGCAGCGGCGGTCGCGGCCTCCTGGCGGCGCAGGGCGGGGCGGAGGTCGAGCTGGGCGGGGAGGCTGCGCCGGTTGGCCGTTCGCATGGCGCGAGCGGCCTCGCGGCTCGAGGAAAGCGCGGTGGTGGGCGTGGACGGGAGAGACATGAGCTGATGATTGCTGTTGCTACTGCCGCTGCCGCCGCCGCCGTCGGCCTTCGCGGTCGCGGGCGAGCGGGACGACGCAGCCGTCGGCGTGTCGCTCACCGAGGCCCCGAAAGACAGCGCTCTGCTTGTCTGCTTTTCGCTGCTGCCGCCGGTGGGCGGGGTGTGGGCATCGAAGCTGTGCGCAGCAGGGCCGCTGACATCGGCCTTGAGGAGGAAGCGAGGTCGCATGGGCGGCGGAGGCGTGGCGCCCACACTCGAGCTGTTGTGGGACGAGGCCAACGTGGGGGAGCCGCTGTACGACGATGGCGTGGGTGGCAAGGACGACGACGATGAAGAGGAGGAGGAGGAGGAGGAGGCGCCTCCAGCAGCAACACCAGCCGCCGCCGCAGAAGTGGGGCGTGCAGGCGAGCAGAGAGATGTCCCAGAGGGACTGGTGGGCAGGCAGGCGGCGGCGGAAGGCGGAGATGTACCGGTCATCGATGCCCGCAATGACGCCACCACGGACGGGGAGGGGGAGGGCACGGCGGAAGACGACGGGGCCGAGGGAGCACCAGGAGCGAGAGAAGAAGGCGAGGAGGAGGCGAATGAAGCGAGAGGCGAGGAGGAGGCGAGAGTGGTGGAGAGAGCGGAGGTCGCAGAAGAGGGGGAGGACTGGAGAGTGCGGCGGAGGGCGTCGAGGCGAGAGCGTAGGAGGGCAGTCTGTGCGTCAAGCTTCGGGAGAGTGGAGTAGGGACCCGACGGCGGGGGCGTGATGCCGGCCACGGGTGGCGCGTTGGCTGCCACGCTTCTGGCCAGGCGCAGCACGTCCGTCACGCCCTCCGTGTCGTTGCCGTGGCCGTGGCCGTCGCTGTTGTTGTTGTTGTTGTTGTCGTCGTTGCCGGCGGAGGCAGCATACAGCTCGGACGAGGGCTGGCTCAAGCTCATGCTCAGGCGACGTAAGCGGAGTTGGATGGCGGCGCGCTGCTCTCGCAGGCGGCCCTCCCACGCACGCACCCTGGCCACCAGCAACCCCTCGTCCCCTTCGCCATGGTCGACCACCGCCGCACCGTTGCCTCCGCCCTTCACCTCGTCTGGTGCTCTTCCTCCTTTGTCCTTGTGATTCCTCCCTCCTTGAATGCGACCGTTTCCATCTGCTCCCCACCGCCCAAGAGGTGAACACCACCAGGGAGGGAAAAAGAAAGGCTGAGGGAGGGTACCGTGTAGCGTTGGAGAACCAGCCAACATGCCGCCGTCAGGCACAAGTAATGGTGGCCGATGAAGCTGCAGATGGAACGCGACCCTAATCTGTTTTTCCCGCCAAAAAATTCAAAAGAAAAAAGAAACTCCCGAAGAAAACTTAAAAGAACAGATGGAGGAGATCCAGGCCGCCAGCATGCAGTGGGGAGACGACGAAGCGGTTGAAGGAGCGGAGGCGACCGCCAGTAGAGCCACTCGCGGAGGCAACGGGGTGGAGGCCGGACGATGGGGCCACTCCGGCTTCGAGCAACTGCAGCAGCAGGACCAGGCCGACCAAGCCCGCCGCCACCAGCAGCAACAAAGAGCAAGGACCCAGCGTCGTGGCGCCAGCCGTGAACAGCAGCCGCCGCAGCCGCAGCCGCGCTCGCCTGCCCGTGGTACCCACCACTCCTCTCTATTTTTACTCTCTTTTTCTCTGGTGGGGGACGGCGGGTGCTTAGAGTGCGTGGTGGGGAGGTCGCGGGGGTCGGGGCCACCAGCAGCATAGGGAGGAGGACCACCAGTTCCAGCAGAAGTGGGAGGACCTGGGCCGACAGCGGCTCGAAGCCATCAAGCGAAAGGAGAGCCGCCGCGACGACCTGCCCCTCTACCGCCCGCCCACACGGTACTGGCTCCCACAAGAGCACCTCCCAGCAGCCACCCATCATCATCATCTTCTCCTCTCTCTCTCTCTCCCCCCTTGTTGGCCACATGCCTTGGCTTCAGGCCAGCGAGCAGGCTCAGCCCGAGCACGGCGTTCTCATCTCTCTGTACGCCCGTGACCGGTGGGGGGCTGGGGTGCACAGGGGCAAGTACACGGAGAGGCTGCGTGAGCTGGAGCAGCTGGAGCAGCAGCAGGGGCAGCAGACAGCCGATGAGGCCCCGCAGCCGCGGCCACCCAAGGCAGCAGCATCACCCAACCGAGCGTCGGGTGCTCCCTCGAATAGGGAGGGAAAACAACAGCAGCAGCTGAAGCGACCGGCACGACACAGGAGCAGCGCACCAACAACTCCCCTCAAAAGGCCGATCTTGGTGGTGCCGGCACTGCCAAAGAAGACGCCATCCCGATCGCCAGTGCCAGCAAGGGCAAGGGCAAGAGCAAGAGCCCTGCCAAAAAGGCGGCACAATGGCGCCCTGTCGCCCACCCGAGCGCCACCACACCTACGCCCACCGACGAACCCAAGCCCGAGCCCATCGCTGCCGCTCCTTGTACGGCGGCCACCCCACCCGATGGAGGAAAAGAGCAGCCGCAGCAGCCAGAAGCAGCAGAGCAAACCAACAAGGAGGCCGAGTGCACTGAGGCAGAGGCAGAACAACAAGTGGCGGAGGAGCAACAACAGGCCGAGGAGACGACAGGGCCGGGCGAGACGGAAAAGGAGAAGGAGCAAGCAGATGAAGGGGAACCACTCACCCCAGCTTCAGAAGCGGAGGAGGCCCGCCACCTCTCATAGTTAGATTCTGAGCACGCCTACTCTGCATCACCGTGGGTGGTGGCGCCCCTTCTCTGGAACGCGGTGCTGTCGGCTTGTTTTGCCTTCCCGCGTGCGGTGTGGGGCGGTATTTGCCAACAAAAAGCCACAGCTGCTTCTGCACCACCCACGAGAGTATCAACCCCCCAACCCAAGCAAGCACAAGCCAGCGGCCATGGAAGCGCACCAACAGGACCGGGACAGGGAGGATAGGTGCGCGCCTTGCAAGAGCACCCCTCGTCCTGCACCCCCCCCCCACCAAAGATGCCCGCACTCACCCATGCTCCTTCCAGGAAAAAGATAGAGAAGGCCATCCTCAACAAACTCAAAGATATACACGCCATCAAGGAGCGCCTCTACACTCTTCGCTACGACACCACGCAACCACACGAGGACACTGTGCGTGACGTGGAGGTACGCACGCGCCACAAAAAATGGCACCAGAGAGCACAGTTGGATTGCGTTGCCACCGTGCTGATTGTGTTGCCTCCTCTCGGTGGGTGTGTGGATCTATCCATCTATTCATCTGCAGAACCTCATCCATGAGTTGAAGAGACTCGAGAGTGGTCTGGTGTTCTTGCGGGAGGAGGCATGGCGCAACTTCGAGCAATCTCTCAACCTGCCGGCCCTTGGCCTTGCCGAGGGCTCCCTCATCAAAGCCATCAAGGGTTCGTTGCTCCACCTACCTGACCCCTCTCAAGCTTTCCCCCCCTCGTTTTCTATTTCCCCTTCCCTCACGTGGCGGTGTGCGATGGCGTGCGCTCACCGCAGGCGAACAGCCGCCAGGCGCAGCCAGTGCCGGCAGCACACAAGCCACCGCAGAGGGAGGTACCGGCAGCTGCACCCACCCGTGAAGCACCCTGTTGTGGTGTCCCTCCCCCCTTTCCCCCGTTCGCGTTCGGTTGTTGACTCTACGCGGCGGCGGCGGCGGCGGCGGCGTGTCGTGCCAGCCGGCGTGCGATTGGATGACTCCAGCGAGCTCAAGATGATGCGGACGAGAAGCACCAAGACTCTGGAGGACAAGAGCCCGCAGGAGAAATGGCAGGCCATGTTCCGTACGCGGCCTTCTTTCCTCTCCTCCCACACCCGCCCTCCCTCCCTCCCGCCCACATTCCCGCGTCCCATCAGTTCACCCTCCCTCCCTCCTCGTCCTCCTCGTCCTCGTCCTCCTCCTCCAGGAATGTTCCAGGAGTGGCGTCGCCACACGACCCTCGCTGAAGCGCAGCGCTTGTACCGTGCCCCGCCCCGTGGTCCACCATCACACCAGTGGTGCCCCTACTTACCACCCACTCCCTGCCCACTCACCAGGTCGGAAAAGGACGCCAAGGCGCTGAAGCGGGAGCAAGTGGCCAAGCTGCGCGCCGCGGTGTACACCCTGCAGCAGAAGAAGGAGCTCACTCAATCCGACCAGCTGCTTCTGCAGCAGCTCTCCCAGCGCCTTCGCATGCTGCACAACACCTAGACCTCCTCCGTCGCCCCCCCCCTCTCTTTCTTTTCCCTATGTTTTGCACATAATGAACCCTTTTTTTTTTTTCGCGCTTGCGCCGGCGCACTCCCACGCAAGCAGGGTTCGTTCGTCCCCACCGCCCTCGTGTGTCGATGTCTTGCCCTGGGCGGCTGTTGTCGTCGTCTTCTCTTCGCCTGCGCATGTGGTGCATTCCTCGTACGGGCGTGGCGGTCGCGAGTTGCTGGGGCTCCGCCGCTTTGCGGACCCCCAATCACTCGACGGGCGCTGGGGGCTGGATGGCCAGCGGCACTGCACCACCGCCACCGCCACCCACGCAAGCTGCACAGGTGAGGAACACCGACCCACCGACCCACCCACCCGGTCACGAGCTGCTTGCGAACGCTGTGGCCGACTAAGCAAGCGCACGTACGCCTGTCCTTGGTGAAGGTGGTGCCTGTCTTGACGGCGACAAGGACCTGCTTGTCTTCGATCTCCTCCAGGCTGCCTATCTTCCTTCCCTCCACTGCACGCACACGTTTAGTTGCTCCGCGGTACATTGCTCCGCGGCCGCGGGGAGGGGGGGGGAACGTGGCGTCTACGTACCCGTGTAGAGTGCGCGCACCGCGGGCAGCAGGCTGAGTTTTTCAGCCACGTGCTTGTGGAACTGCGCAGTCACGACATCGGCACGCACACGTCCAACTCCAATGTTAACAACCGGGGGCAGGGGCGGTGAGCTGCGAGGGGCGCGGGTCGATGTGCGTGCCTGGTCGAGAGTGCGGAAGTGCTTCACAAGAAAGTCCTGCCTGATGCACCCAAGTGGTTGGTTGTGATGCACTAAACATGTTCAACTCCCCCCCCCCACACGCAAAGCCAGCCCAGTCATAAATCAATTGAGGAGTACCACGTACCCCTTGTCATGCTTTTCGCCGCACCTGAAGATCTTCACCTTCGGGGGCGCTGTAGCCTGGGTGCCAAACTTCTGGATCTGGGGGTGTCGAACCTTATTAGTTAGTATGCAGGCCTCGCTGCAGTGCGGCCTGGAGAAGAACTCATACGGGGGCCTTGTTGAAGTTGGAGAGGGAGTGCGACGTCATGGTGCTGTTTCTCTTTTGCGGTTTGTAACGACTACCTTTGCGCGCCACCTTGGCTCACTGTCGACAGAAATCAATATTTTGTCATCCACCCAAGCAAGAGGTATCCTGCTCAGCTGAGATAGGTCACCCTGGGATTTTGTTGTGGATGTGGTCCTCAGTGGTGGCTGGGAAGTCAATGCTGGTGAGGAGGAAGCTGTAGAAGCAGGGATGCAGAAGCACCTTGTTCAAGTAGTACTTTAACATCATTGGTCCAGGTTGGTGGTACAGTGCTCACTCCCAGCCTGGCATCTGCCCAAGTGAGGATGAGACCCTGGAGCAGTTCTGGATTGCCAAGATTACTGCTGTCTGCAAGTGCAGAATAGGTGAGGACAGCTGTGGTGGGAGGGTGATTGGCTTCACAGATGGCATGAACATCATGCCAGGTCATGGCCACAGGCAGATGGATTGTCCCATCAGGAAGATGATCTCCTATAAAAGTGCCAAGCCAGCAGTGAGGTCTCACAAGCCAAAGAGGGAGAGGGAGTGCCTTGGCATCCATAAATGGCTACAGCCCCACCATGTCAAAAGATGACAAGGCACCAGACCCATTTCTTGCAGCTGAACCCATATGCCCTGCAAAAACCAGCAAGACAGAAGGGTGTGCCAAAAACATGTAAATCCATACAAGAATTGTCATCATAGGCAGAGGCACCCATAATGGTGATGATCATGGAGCTGCGCTCAAACTTGTTGCAGGCTGCATAGCACTCCCTAAGCTACATGATCTGCTCTACAGAGATGAGTGAGAGGCAGTTCTTGCAGCAACAAGGGGCATCAGCAAGGGAGGAGATCTTGGTGGCATCAGTTAGTTGAGCAGGCTTGGTGGACTGGGCACTGCTCTGGGGTCAACTTCCTGTGCTTTTGGGGAGTGTGTTGGGATGAGGAATATCTGTAGACTTTCTTCAATAGTTTATAAAAAGCAGTGTGATGGCTCTGCTGTTTATGTAGCCTCACACCTACTTCACACATCACCCTCAAGCCTACTCAGCAAAAGCCATGTCCACCACCCCTTCTCCATGATCCACCCTCTGGCATCCTCCCAGCCTGGCATCCATGTTGGCTGAGGAAGGACTGGTGCAAGTTGAACTGGAGCAAGATCAAAGTGGAGAACATCACCATTGTGAACCTCAAGAGCCTCATCAACCATCTTGGAGGTAGCAAGAGCTTCAAGAAGAAGGCAGAAGGTGTGGTGAAGCTGCTCCTGCTCATCAATGAGAAGAAGGTGCCTGAGGAAGGGGAAGGAATGTGTGGATGTGTGTCTGGTCAAGAAGGTCCACATCACTGAGAGACAACCAGTTGCTCTTCCTGAGGTGACACTTAGTGTTGTGGAGAAGGCCAGCTACTTCCTCAACCTTACCTTTGCTGAACTTGGTATGTTCTTGCTTTATTCATACATTTTTTTGTACACCTCCTATCCAAAGCACAGATGTGCAATTAACTTGTGGTCATTTGAAATGAGAGGTCCAGTCATTTTGAAAAGTGATTTTGTTTGTAAGTTTAAGCTCATAAAAATAGTTTTGACAACACAAAAATGGTTTTAATTTAAGAATAGCAAGACAAAATTGGGGATTTAACTGGACAAAAAGTCAAATTTTTATTCTTTACACAAGCAATTCCAAGGGGCTGTTTGTCACATCTCAGTGTGGAGATCTCTTCCTTCTTGGCCTCCTGAGGAGGTGGCTGCTCACCCTATGAGGGTGGCCTGGAGCTGCTCTTTGTCATTCACTTGATATTAAATTGTTGCAGCATTCATCTTCACATGATCTGTGGGGCAAGGAGGAGATAAATTAGCTGAATTGGAGCACTATTCCTGAAGTTAAACTTCCACTCCATTCCATGCTGATAAAATCACTTTTAACTCCACATATTCCAAGTTTTTATCAAATCATTTTCATCTCAAATCCCTCAATATGACTTATAAGCAGCGGTCTAGCATGTCAGAATCACATGCAGATCCATATCTTCAAAACTGCCCTATAAATCAAAAATGTCAAATCTCACACAATTTTAGCACAACAAAAATTCCATGGTCATTTGTGACCTCTCATTTCAAATGACCACAAGTTCTCTGCTGAGCTCCTGGAGTGGCAGGACACACTGGACCAACATCAGACTGAAGCCATGGCTTCTCCACATGCTGTCCCCACTCTATTAGATTGCCTCACCCCACACTCTTCTGCTTCCAGCTCACTGATAATGCCTACAGGTATTGTTGACACCCTCCCCATCTGGGTGTGGAACCCAAAGGACAAAACACTGTGCCATGCCCTCTTCCATCCACATTATCCTCTGTATGATGGTCACATCTGGGCTTCCACCATGGAAACACAAGTCATTCTGTCCTGGCATTGAGCAAGGGTTGTTGAGCATATCAACAGCTACTTTGTGTGCCAATGCCTTGTTCTCAGCAAATTCCTTCAAATAACCTCTGGCCAGATGAAATAGCAGCTGTGATTTTTCCTTTTATGGTTCTGTGTGCCAACCGTTCAGGAAAGTACCGAAAAAAATGTGCGTAGTCATCGCGTACATGATAGAAATTGGTCATTCCAGACCTTGACTTGATGGCCCAGTTACAGCATCATATCTCTCATTATGATGGTATTTTAATCTGCCATTTCTCAAGATGCTCCGTGAGTGAAGAAATGACTGTGAAATTTTTGTGGGACTTATGTTTTTATGAGAAATAAAAAGAGATAGTTGTAGTGTGAGAGAGTTTATTGTGTGCTTTAATATTTATTTGTCAATGTATGACAGGAAATATGTTTTCTATTTTTATGCATTTTTGATGATGATGAGGTTGATGATTTATTTGGAAATAGTTAAATGGATTGGTGTTGAGCTCTGTCCTGAAATAATTGTGCATTCTGTATGCAACCAGTTTCTGATGGGCTTTGGGATGTGTTGGTCACATGCACAGTTGGATGGGCCATGTACACCCTGGTATCCTTCTCAACCCATTCAATGAAGACTTTGGTGCAGGTGAGACAGGTGACCAGACCAAGCCAATATGGGTCATTGTTGGGTGCAGCAAGTTACAACAGCACCAACATCAGGCAGAACTGGAGTGAGCTCAAGAGAGGTGTTATCACACACCTGGCCTGGCACTCAAAGCAGTGATT